ATTGGAAAGCCTGAGGTGGACCACGTGCTTGAAGATTCCGGTCATTGGAAAGCGTCAAAACTCTCGATCTAGGTGCCTCTCGATTCTCAATGTAAAGATGATTTAGAATCACATTTTCTGGCAAAGGCGTACTCCCAGAAGCATTCAGACTTAAGGGGTAGCTAAGCAACGAACGATGCAGGTGTGGAGGGACAACTGGTGGGTCACGTGCGTCATCTTCACTCCCAGGGTATGCATTATTGTAACTTGAATCAGGTGATCTTGGAACTTCAAACCCAACGACTTTTTCTTCATCTTGATCATCACCATATTGGTTGTTCATGCTGAAGAGTGATACGAGAGGCTAGCAGAGCTCAATCACCAAAACTCCCAGCTTTTCAATCCCACGTCTCCCGAGAAAAAGAGAAAAATTTTCCAGTAGAAAATAAGTAATTGTTGGAGAAGACCCAAAAATAAGAGACTAGCTACTGGCAGGAGAATCGACCATAAGAATCTGCCCTGAATATTGTTTTAATAAAAGCATTAAGCATAGTATAAGAAAAGAAAGGATTTGTAAAATCTGGAAAGTCTCTCCTTGTCTAAAGCGGCGGTGACCATGGCTGCTATGGGCTGCTCCGTTTTCACGTTTTCTAGACAGATTCCTCACCGACCCCTTTGGAGAGGCAAAGTGTGAATTGAAGGAAGGAGAAACTGGAAGGGAGGTTGGTTCGTTGTTTGCTTCTGAGCTCCTTCACCTTCGCTGCTGCTGCCTACGATCGACTGTATGTCTTGCATTGCTAACGACTCTCGCTCCTTGTTTGCTTCTTCGTCTGCATAAATACCAGAAAACGATATCGATCTCTTCCCCAGCAATGATGCAATGCCATGAAAGTCTTGGTGTGTGCATGATGAAAGCATTTGATTGGTGGAACTTTGGGGGTGATGATGATCTTCTTCATGAGGAGTTTGGAGCATGAAATTTGCTGGGGGAAAAGTCATTCGATTGCTAGCTAGACAGGATCCAACAGGCAACTGAGTTTAGCACTAATCTTCGTTCCTCCAAAGGGGGTAGTGGTTGCACAATGGAAGGGGAAAGTTGCTGGGTAGTGTTTAAGTGGGTTATTGTTTTCTAACTATGTGGGGTGCAAAAAGTTAATAAAATATTGAATGAATGGTTAAAAAAAGTGTGTTTACAATGGTAAAATTACATTTTATCCACCAAAATTCACAATTCATTTATGGCCTTTCCTATGGAAAATGTTTATAGATTCACCCTGCTTGTCGTTGAAGTAATAATGTATTTTTTTTCTCTACAATTAAAGCTACACAGAAATTTAGTTAATTAAAATTAATTAATAATAAGTTTATATATTTAATTTAATATATGATTTAATAATTTATTTTATGTTTATATTTTAAAAATATGTTATATAGGATGGTTAAATTTAGGATAAAGTATATAAACGATCTTCCGACTATATGACATTATTTTATTGAATCTAAGAATTATTAAAAGTTACAAAATAGTTTACCGACTATAAGGATTTCTTTTGTTGAGTCCTCCGACTATTAAAAGTTACAAAAAGGTCTCATTATTATCCATAATATAAACTTATCATTTTCAATCAAAAAATTGTCGATCGTTTGTGTCAGACGTTAACATGCTGACTGTGATATGATAAAATTATATTTTAATCAAATCTATTAGAACCATTATTACTTTCAAACATTGACTCAAATACATAATATAAACAGAGAGTCGATCCACAAACTACAATTCAAATGGTTATAAGATTAGATTTTATCATATCTCAATCAACATGTTAACGTCTAACTTAGACAACCATATATTTTTAATAAAAAATGACAAATTTGGAATATATAAATAGTCACATAATCATTTTGTAACTTTTAATAGTCAGATGACTCAACTAAACCAAACAACGTCCTATAATTAAAAGACTATTTTGTAACTTTTAATAATTAATAAATTGAACAAAATAACATAACATAATTGAGAGATCATTTGTATATTTTACCATTAAATTTAATACTTCCACTTAAAAAAAGTTAAAAACCCAAGATTTAGGCAATTTTTCTAATAAATCACAGGTGATCGGTATATTTACCGATCTAACACCGGTCAAATTATATTTTTTGATCTAACACCCGTAACAGTAAAGCGCGCCCCCTGCCCCGCGATATACGGTGATTATAGCGCGCCCCCTGATCCGCGCTAACCTTGGTATCTAACACGTGAGGTATAACGCGGTGCAGGGGGCACGCTATATCCCTAAATACACGACTCTTCACATCCTAATCCTCCCTATAAATACCCCCATCCTCAATCACTTTTATCACACCAAATTCTCTAAAATTTCCTAAATTTCTCTCAATTACTCTCTCTTTTTAAGGTATATTTTATAATATTTTTACTATTATGTATTTACTTTATTTAATATTTTACTAATATAATTTTTTTGCAGATGTATAATGGAAGGCAGTCTACTTCGCTCGGATATAAATCATATATCTCTACACTTTGCTGATACAGTAACATTTTAACGTTTTAATTTAATTTTAATTATTAGTAATATTTAGTTGATTTATTTAATGCATGATTATTATATTAAGAATTAAATATCTCGACACTTTACTGATACGGTAACATTTTAACGTTTTAATTTAATTTAAATTATTAGTAATAATTAGTTGATTTATTTAATGCATGATTATTAGATTAATAATTAATTTTTGTAATTATTTATTTTTAGGAGAAGGATCATGTATTAGATCCTTTTTTTAGGAATCTTAAGTTAGTGATACCCAGCCGTGTCTTGCCGTATTTAGTAGAGGCTGAATTCGGTTAAATAGGTAGATATCAGGGTCACTGTAAGATAGATCCAGACCTGATTTCTGCCTTAATAGAGCGGTGGAGGCCGGAGACCCACACATTCCATCTTCCGTGCGGAGAGTGCACGATCACGCTTGAGGATGTTTCTATGCACCTGGGGCTTCCGGCGGATGGAGACGTGATATCTGGGATAGCTTTCGGTTCTTGGACTACTTTGTGTCGGAATAAACTAGGACGTGTCCCGGAAAATTTTATCGGAGGTATGATACCGTTAAATTCGTTAGATGCCAATTTTCGGGAGTTGAGCGCAGACGTCTCTGAGGATGAGGTTAAGATGTATGCACGGGCATGCATACTGCAGCTGATAGGAGGGTTGCTGATGCCGTACAAATCGCGCAACCTAGTTCAATGCATGTGGTTGCGACATCTTAGCGACTTTCGTCTCGCCCGATCATTCAGTTGGGGCTCGACAGTTTTGGCTTTGCTGTACAGGGAGATGTGTGGTTCCTCCATGCTCTCCACATTTAGGTCGAAGAACCTACTACTTGTACGCCTTCCCCTTGAACTGGAAGGCATGTCGACATTGAGATCGAAAAAGTTCGCAGTCGAATGCCTCCCCCTGGAGCTTGAAGCCATCGTGTCAAATGGGAACTGCACAAATGGTTGCTTCGATGTCATCTCCATATGGTCAAAGAAATTTGCTAATGAATGCCTTCCCCTTGAACTGGACGCGGTGTTGCCATACGGATTGTTCGTGGACCCACCTCGCTACATATCGTAAGGAGTTGCGGATGAATGTCTCCCCATTATGACATTAAAATCATTACACATTACTGTAGTCGGACTGTCAACTTGATTAACTTGTTCAGCCAGCCCATAGTGTGAGCTTAAATATTGACCCCGAACAACACGCACTTGAACAAAATATGCATACATCTCAATAGCGGTGTCTGAATAATTACTTTGAGCTTCAACCATCATTTGAACATCATCATTATTCGAAAGTTCGAACGTTGTATAAGTTAATGGCAACAATGATGTTAGAAATCTGTACTGCAACGACGACATTCTTCTATTACTTCCAACATGAATCTTCCTCGAAATCTTCGTTAATAGCTCCTCAAGAGTTATGTCTCTCTTGAATGATATTTTAACACGCTCATTTGATACAAAAAAAAATGCCGATTTCATCTTCTCGAATTTCACCATCATAATAAACAATAGCTGAAGGTCGCGCCATTATTTGAGTTTAAAAGTACGGTAATATTATATATGCAAAAAAATAACTTAAACAAACCTAATTAAATAAATTATATATGAACGAAAATATAACACAAAATTTTTTTTACACATCAATGTAAATAATTTAAATAATATAATTTTATATTATTACCTGCACCGCAAAACTATTTCGACGTATGTTCCCTCTTTTCAATTTTATAAACATAAAAATTAATTGAAAATAATTAGTGTAATATTTTTTTCAAATAATAATAATAAACAATAAGTATAATTAAAAAATTATAACAAAATTACCTTATAACGAAAAATTGCATGAACTTCTAAATCAAATATGAGAAAATTGCCAGAATTATTATTCGTTGACGGAATTATTGTATTAATTTATAAGAGAGGAGAGATGTGAGGAGATATGCGAGAACCGGAGGGTATTTATAAATATATAAGGCACGGTACTTGCACCGTTATTATATAACGCGGATCAGGGACCGCGTTAAATATAATTTTGATACGGCGTATAGCGCGGAGCAGCGGTCGTGCTATACCCCACGTGTAATCCAGTCAGCGTATAGCGCGGTACAAAGAGCGCATTATACTTCACGTGACGCCAAGTCAGCATATAACGCGATTCAGGGGACGCGCTTTACTGCTACGGGTGTTAGATCGAAAAATATAATCTGACTGGTGTTAAATCGATAAATATATCGATATCCGGTGAAATCGCCCAAGATTTACAAATAATTAAAAAAATATTTAAATTTAATTTAAAAACAAAATTTGCTGTAATTCACTTAGGAAGCTTCAAATAGTATAAAGGCAAGGCAACTGATCTAGCTTAGCTCACACTATCACAGTCCCTGAGACCCAGCTAGCTGTTTTTATTCACTTATTTTCTATATTTAAATCTTCAAGATACTTTGCCTCTTCTGCTAGCCTACTCTCTTTCTTTCTCCTCCCTTTCTTATATGAAGGAAAGCTAAAAGAGCAGCATTTTAATGTCCCAACAACCTCCTTTAAGCTTGTAGCAAAAGGGTTTTCCAGTTCTTCTGTTTCACAGAACCAAAGAGCCAAAAGTTTCAGTTTTTACATCTCTTCTCTTTTTCCCCCTTCTGTTGTTTAAAGGATGAATAAACAAGATGTCATGAAGATGCAGGTACTGTTAGCTTAAATTAGTTCACATATGCAAATTTTTGTTCTCTCATAGGTGCTGTTTTGATTTGATTGTCAACACTGTTTCTGGTTGTTTTGGTTGCAGAAATGGGTTCTCAAAGTGAATATACAATGTAGCTGTGAGGGGTGTAAGCAGAAAATAAGGAAGCTATTGCAGAAAATTGATGGTATTTACATATAATATGTGTGTGTGTGTGTTCATTTTTTTTAGATAGATATTTTAAGTTTCTTTTTTGGGGTTTATTGATTTTTTGTTTTGTTTTGTTAGGGGTGTATACCTGTAGCATAAATGTAGATCAAGGGAAGGTAACAGTGACCGGTAATGTTGATCCGGCTGTGCTCGTCAAGAAGCTGCAGGAATCTGGGAAACATGCACAGCTATGGGGTGGGGCTCAAAAGGGGGGTTCTAATATTTTTCCCAACCAGTTCAAGAACATGAATATGGATGTTGGCAAAGGTGGGAAGGACAACAAGTCTCAAAAGGGTGGCGGCGGCGGCGGCGGCGGAAATAACCAGCAGAAAGGTGGGCAGCAATTTGTGTTACCACAGCATATGCAGCAAATGATGAAAGGGTTTAACCCTCCCAAAGACCAGAAATCTGTCAAGTTTCACTTGCCTGAGGATGATGGAAGTGATGATGAGTTTGACTATGAGTTTGACGATGAATTTGATGATGAGTTCGATGATGATGAGGATGACGATTTTGATGATGAGGGATTTGGTCATGGTCATGGTCATGGACAAATGCAAAACAAGATGGTGGCTATGATGGGAAAAGGCCATGGAGGGCCAAATGTTATGATGAATGGCCATGCCGTGAATGGTAAAAAAGGAGGAGGTGGTGGTGGTGGTGGGGATAATGGCAGGAAAGGGGTAGCTATTGACATGCCTATGGTGATGAAAGGCATGGGGGAGAACAAAGAAGGGAAGCATGGTAATGGAGGAAAGAAAGGAGGAGGTGAAAAGAGCAGCAAAGGAGGGAAAGGAGGAGATAAACGTGGTGGTAAAAAAGGGGGTGAAGGAGGAGGTTTACTTGGGTTTTTCAAGAAGGATAAAGGTGGAAAAGATTCTGGTGCTCATAGTAAAAAGGATAAAAATGAATGGGATGATGATGATGATGATTATGTTAATAACAAAGGCTCTTCTCACAATGGAAAGGGAAGCCATGGTGGTGGTGGTGGAAACAATAATGGCAATGGAGCTAAAAAAGGTGGGGGCAAAAATGGTGGTGGAGGGAGCCATCAGGAGATGATGAACAAAATCAAAAGTGGTGGGTTTCAAGACATTGATGTTATTAATCATGGCAAAGGAGGTGGGGGTGGTGCCACCGGTCATGGCCACCACGGACACGGAGGCGGTGGTGGAGGAAAGAATATAGGGCAAATGGGTTTTAACATGGGCCAAATGGGAAACTACCCAATGAACCAGATGGGTAATTTTGCTGCAGTACAAGGACTACCAGCTCCAGCACCAGCACCAGCACCAGCAGCAATGAATAATGGTGGTGGGTATTATCAAGGGATGGGGCCAGGAAATCCCTATAATCAGCATCAATATATGGCCATGATGATGAATCAACAGAGAGCAAATGGGGGGATGTATCAGCCAATGATGTATGCACAACCATATCCCCAACCAAGCTATGGCCCTCCCCCAATGCATCCACCGCACTCTGAATCTTATGCTCATTACTTTAGTGATGAAAATGCAAACAGCTGCGGTATCATGTGAAATTTTTCCCATATTAGTGATGTTTTCCTTATTTTACAAAAGCTTGATAGGGAAATGTTTAGTTTTCCCTTTAGTCAAAATCCCCCAAACCCTCTCTTTGAAGCCTATGGAGTGAGGCCACTATGTAGTAGAAGAACAATGTACGTAAAGTTTGAGGGATATATGATGAAAATATATAGTTTTTAGTTACTTTTTTTTCTCAAAAGGGGACCCAATTGTATGTCTTTGTGAATTGTTGGTTTCAATTTTAAAAACATGTTTGGCATCAATCCCCCATCAGGCTCCATTTTTCTCTTCAGCTTTTTGACTACAAAATTTTCTCCTATGATTGCAATCTTTCAACTATTTGCTTACACACAACAGTGACTTCTAATTCCCGCAAAGTTAGGTTTAGCATGTGAACCTTCCTTTCAAAGCACTCATTTTCAGGCTGCCATATGCAAATAACGCCTAAACTTCCACATGAACAATGGTTTTTAGAACTAATTTGAGTATAAATAGCTGAATTTACCTTTTATCTCCTTGGCCCTGAGCTTCTTTCTTCCATTAATGGCTTCTTCTTCCCCATATTTTATTCTCAGCTTTCTTCCTGTCTCGAGCAACATCGAAAGCTGAACAAGTTTGTTTTGCCAGTATACAGTGATACCAAGACTAGTTTCTATGTTGCCAACATTTATAAAAACACTCCACTATTGCAAATCCTGTTTGTTGTGGTTCGAATGGGAGGTCATTATGGGTAACTTGTGAAGAAAACTACCTTTCATCAACCTGCCGCACCCCTCGATGCAGTTCGACTCAATGTGCTTGAGCCAATGCTCACTATTGCTACACTCACTCCTCCAAGGTCAGGCCAGGGTTCCACAACAACACGTGGGCTCATGTCGGTGAACCAGTGACGGGCCTAACTGCCATGGGTGAGTTTGAACAAGATGTTCTGTCGATTCATTCCACTCGAGGGTCTAACCCTGGTCCGCTTGTTATGATATCTCGGTCTTGTTCGCTTGTGCTCCCAATGGGGTCATTTTCTTCGGGGATAGCCCTTATCATATGCATCCTGGTAGATATGTCACGCCCTTTAAGCTACACACCACTGATCATTAGTCCACTAGGAGAGTACTAGGATGTTTTGTTTAATGCAACGCTGTTATTGATCGATAAACGAGGTGTCGAAGGCACGGAACTCAGGCATTCCCCTGGTAACATCGGTGGGATAATTTGGGGTTTGTTTCAACTCAACAACAAAAGAAGCAGTGTCGGACAGAGGGTCCCTAACATCAATCTAGTGCTCCATGAGCGCCATGTTGTAGCGATTAGTAAAGGATTGGGGAGCCCTTTGAACCGTGGGTTTGAGCCTAGTTGTTTGGCTCCCCTACAGCTTCGAGCCATCACACAAAGGTCTGAAACCTTTCAAAAGTGATTGAAAAATGGTAGTTAGAGGTGTAAACGAATCCGGTTTGAACAAATGATGTTATATTTATATTTATTTGTTATTTTTGAAAGTATTAATGTTAAGTTTGTGTTTATTTAAATTTTTAATATCGTGTTCGTTTATTTATAGTATGTTCATTTGACATTCATATATTCAATTAACATTCGTTTAACGTCCTTCAACCAATAATCTATTTCTATCATTTTAATTGTAAGCTAAAAAATGATAAAATTACATCATTAATATTTAAATTTCTTAAGTTTCATAATTTAAACTCTAAAATTTATCTTATATTCAATTTAATTCATACATTCACCGATATTTAAAATGTAAATAAAAAATAAAAAGAAAATTAAGTAAACGACCCTATAAATGATTCGATAAATTAACTTATAAATAAATCGATAAACGAACTTATAAACAAGTCTTATAATTGAGTCGATAAACCAATTTATAAATGAACTTATTCATAAATATAAACAAATCGAACATATATCTATTTGAGTTCATTTATTAAATAAATAAATATAACACTATTATATTTATTTATTTATTTTAATAAACAAACATAATAAAACATTATATAAACGATTCACCAATATTTGTAATATTCGTTCATATCCCAAGTATTTTTACTCAATTCCGGTTAAAGGGTGGCCGGTAAAATAAACAATGGAAAGCAAATATTGGCATGGCTCAGCAAAGAACACGGGTTGTTATTAATCTAATGATCTGATCTGGGTTTTGTTTTCGTACTCTGAAAATAAAAATATTAGAAAGACCCTTTTATTCTAATCGTCAGTAGGAATCAACTGGCAAGAAACGCGTTAAAGAAAGTGGAAGAACAGTGGCTGTTAACTCGAAGGATACACGGTGAAAGATCCAAAAAGAAAGGTCCTAAACGATCCATCATTTACACCCAAGAGAGCACCTGCTATTGAAAATCCGAAGATATCCTAAGAATTACCCTCTCAGCTTCATTCCCATTGCTGCAAGAACTGATACACTGCAAAGCAAAGCCCTCAAATTCCCATCAATCAATTAAAAGTTGGAAACTTTTGACAAATCGGGTGTCTCAAAACACCCAAAGTTCCATTTCGTGTTTATATCTTAATGGCATGGCCCTCTCATTCCCATCTTTCATCAAATCCAGCCTTCTTTGCTTGACTCTCCTTTCATCTCTGTCCTTCTTCTTCTTCCTCCAAGCTCCACGGAAACCCCCATTAATCCCCAAAAGATCGCTCCTTTCAACTTCTTCCTGTTATACCCTACACTCTTCCGATTCTGACAGTGCCCTCATTGACTACCTTTACCTCCATTACTGTCTTTTCAATGGGAACTCTTTCCTCTCAATCCCTTTCCTTTCTCTTCTCCTTCTCCTCGACTTTTACATTCTCATCAAAACGGCACAATCCCATTTCTCCGTTGTCACCACAAAGCTCTCTTCTCTCCTCAACTTGTCCCCTTCCATGGCCGCCGTCACTCTTTTAGCCCTCGGAAATGGTGCCCCAGATGTGTTTGCCTCCCTCCATGCCGTTCGTACGGGTCATTACAGGACTGGGTTCGGCGCAATTCTGTCGGCCGGGACGTTTGTCTCCGCCTTTGTGGTGGGCTTCGTTGCTATCTATGCAGCTCCCTTTGGGGTAAAACCTGCGCCTTTCATAAGGGATGTGTTGTTTTATCTCACTGGGGCATTGTTCTTGTTCTATGTGTACCTGAGTGGCGAGATTTTTGTGTGGCAAGCTGCTGGTTTTGTTGCGTTTTATGTGTTCTTTGTTGGGTTTGTGTTCTGGATGGATTTCGGGACCGAGAGAGAGGAGGAGAAGCCTATTTTGGAGAAGGAAATGGTGACAGAAGATCACCATTTGCTGGATAAAATTTTTGATGTTGAAAGGGGTTTGAAGGCAGAGAGGAAGGCTTCAGAAATTGCTGGAGTATATGAAATGGTATGTTTCAAGAATTTAGTACCAGTAAACCTTTTATGTTGTGATTTGCTTGTTTTAGTGTTGAGTATGAATATTTTGATTGATTGATTGAGTGGAAGAGCATTGGTAGATGGAATTATTTGTTGAGGCTATTGGCTTCTAAATGCTTATATGAAACTCATATATTGCTTGAGATGAAAAAAATGGCTGTCCCTTGTTCCCATATGTATGGGGTAAGGGGGAGGTAAGATAGTAGGCTGCCCCCAACACTAGGTTGAGAACAGCTTCCGTAGGAGACCTCCAAATTATGAAATGTCCTCCATGGGACTCGATCCCACGACCTCAAGGTTAAGAACCTTGTGCTCTACCAACTGAGCTGGATGGTCATTTCATCATATATTGCTTGAGATGGATAACTAGAAATGGGATTGGAATATTTAAGCTGAGCTAAATTTTCCAGGTTCATTGGGTGTAAATTGAAGAATGCTCATGTTGGATGCTATGAACATGAAAATTAACACTGGAGAAAGTTTTGGTTGAGCCTTCCTTTTCAATATTTTCTTGTCTATGGACAGTGGTAGATGAATCTTGAAGTATACTGCAGTTTGCATGCTGTTGAAATTCATTCTTCCTTTGATGCCAATGCTTTTATCTGTAAAAATGAAACTATAGACATTGCAGGAGCTAGAAAAAGGATAGGCTCATGAAATTTCTCGAAGTAGGATACGATTTACGCTAGTCTTGTTCACCTCAATTATGTTCTTTTGCTTAGTAAATCATATAAACTTCTACTAGCTTTGTGCCTAATGTTCTGTATTATATCTCCTATGCAGATCTCAAAGGCATGGGAGGTTCCTATCTCTTTGCTTCTCAAGCTCACGATTCCACAATCTTCCCCTTCGGAATGGAATAGATTCTACCAATCGGCTAATATTGCCCTTTGCCCTCTAGCTCTATTATATGTTTGCAACTCGTACATGCCATTCGACCACCCCATCATGTTCCTCCTTGCTAACACCCCTTTCCCTCTTTGGTTTGTTGTACTCTTTTCAAGCTTCTCTCTTGCTGTCCTTCACTTCATATTGGAAAAAGAACCTCCGAAGAACGAGCAAATACCTGTGGTGATTATAGCTTTTGTAATGAGTGTGTTCTGGATATCTACTGTCGCTGGGGAATTGCTGAACTGCTTGGCAGCCCTTGGATTGCTTCTAGAATTGCCTCCGGCACTCCTCGGGCTCACGGTACTTGCATGGGGAAACTCCGTGGGAGATCTTGTAGCTGACGTTGCAGTTGCCAAAGCAGGCCATCCGGCAATGGCTATGGCTGGATGCTTCGCGGGGCCAATGTTTAACATGCTCGTTGGGCTAGGATCGGCTCTGGTAATGCAAACGGCCAATGTTTATCCTGAAGCCTATAAGCTTAATTTTCACGTTGGTATTATCATTGCATTCGTCTTCTTGCTTTTGAGCTTGATGGGATCTCTGTTGGTCATAACTTGGTCGAGATTCCGGGTACCTAGGTTTTGGGGATTCTGCCTCGTCGGCCTTTATATTGTTTTCACACTAGTTAGCTTGATCATTGCTAAGTTTTCCGGGTGATCGGTTTCATCCTCTAAGCCGAAGGCATTCGATTAATATATGCCGATGAAGGCAACCGATGAACTTCAAAGACAGGTTCTAGGTATAATTGTATTCTTCATATCTGTTAGATCCTCAACTATCATAATCAACGTTTTGTTTAGAGCAAATTAGAATATTATACAAATCAGAATAATTTCTGTGTAAAAGGCAATAGTCTGAGCATAAAGTGATGTGTATTTGTACTCAATTCTATAATACAATTGTTAATATACGTTAAATGACGGTAGAAATCGGTTCCAACAAAAAAAATATTATATTCTTCGTAACATTTATAGTTGTAAGTTTTAAACTCCCGCAATCTAACTTTTCGATTCTAACCGAAAATGTTATAAGTTTGAATAACGTTTTAAGTTGAAATTGTCTCAAGTTAATCTTAAATTAAGTTGTCGTACAACGGAATTATTCGTTTTTCTTACATATTATTGGTTGGATTTTTTGTCAGAAATCTTGGTTTGGTTTACGGTAAAGCCTCAAAAAGCTACACTTCACCTGGTCCCATGCATGTGTATGAGTAGTTTTGCTGAATGGTGACATAATCTAGGATTTATTTGTAACGAGTTTTAACTTAAAATATAATTATGTGAAACCTAGAAAGTAATATAATTGATAATAATTTCGGTTACAACTGAGAATGTTACTTTGTAGCGGGTTTTAACTTAAAATATTACTTTCCTATTTTAAAAAGTTACACAATTCATAATAATTTTGATTACAATTGCGCATGTCGGATTTCAACAACATATATTGAAATTAGCCTCATCAAATGAGCGTGAGAAAAGATCAGAACAATAGGATGTTGGACATTTAGATTTTTTTTGTCAATTTTAAGTGAGTTTCGTAAAATATCAAGAAAAATAAATATAAGTGAAATTCGAATGCTTTGATATTAATTTTGTAATAAATGATAATTGGTAACGGATGATAATTGATCTACATCAACAATCAAATGAGCTGATGAATTTTTGTAAAAAATAATAGAAAATACGATCATGTCATCGTATTATTAATGATTTAATGGTTTGATAAAAAATAATATAAATATTTAATAATAGAGACTAGCACTTTTACCCTAAAGAAAATGATAATTTCCAAAAATGGAAAAGAAAGCACGAAAAAGAATGGGGAAGACCGTATAAAAGGTAGGTTTTGTGACAATATAATTTATAAGGTCAAAGTCGGACAGAAAAAGAACTCCAAAAACATCAACACAAATTGTTTCCAATCTTAGATTAGTTCTTCGTACGAAAAAATCCAACAGAAATAGCTCTAAAAATACCAACTTTTTTCAATGCTCTCTCTCTCAAGTCTCAACCCTAAAGATCTGTTTCCAAAATCGGATCTTTTCTCAGCCTACGGATAAAATTCTCTTCGAAAGAGTTTTACCCAATTTTACCCTCTTGATCTTGGATGCTTCTCTTCTCTTTTGACATCTTTTCCTTTTAATTTGTCTCAGGCTGTTCTCAATCTTCCCTTCAAGGTACAACCTTTTCTCCATAAGGTATAAGCTTTTTGTATACTTTCTGGGTTGGTTTAGGAGATGTTACTTGAATGATCTTCACTTTTAATGGTTTTTCTTCTGTTGTTAATTGCTGTAAATATATTGGCTTCGCTTGATTGAGCTAAAATTACACAATATTATCAGCCTTTTGTTTTGACTGCAAAATTGCATGAACAGATTTTGTTTCGTGTTATGTTATTTATGGAAGAACCGGTAGTATATGTGCCAATTAGGTTAAGTAGGTGTTGATTTGAATCACCAATGGAACTTGATCTTCCATAGGAAGCTATTAGAGGAATTGGTTTTGGAAATGATTACGAGATTTCTTATCTTTGTGGTTTTCCTTGTACAAAGAGTTGATCCTGTCTGGGATGAACACAATGAAACTTGTAATGCCTGATCAGAGTTTCTTGCTGCGGTTTTTTTGTGTTTTTATTTCGAGTAGATACGTTTATGTTTTAGTGTTTGCAGGTCAGAATGGATCACCAAGGGCATGGACAGCCCCCAGCGATGGGAATGTCGTATGGCACTGGCCCGTATCAAAACCAAGTGACTGGTGGCCCGAATCCCGGGTCAATCAGAGGCATTCAACCGACAAATCAGCCAACTGGAGCTCAACTTGCAGAACAGCAACTTGCTTATCAGCAAATCCATCAGCAGCAGCAACAACAACTTCAGCAACAACTTCAGACATTTTGGGCGAACCAGTATCGAGAAGTCGAGAAAGTTACGGATTTCAAGAACCACAGTCTTCCCTTGGCAAGGATCAAGAAGATCATGAAAGCCGACGAAGACGTGAGGATGATATCGGCCGAGGCCCCAGTCATTTTCGCCAGGGCATGTGAAATGTTTATCCTGGAATTGACATTGCGTTCGTGGAATCACACGGAAGAGAACAAAAGGAGGACGCTTCAGAAAAACGACATCGCGGCGGCGATTACTAGGACCGACATATTTGATTTCTTAGTCGACATAGTTCCCAGGGAGGATTTGAAAGACGAAGTTCTTGCATCAATTCCACGAGGAGCAATACCCGTCGGAGCGCCTGCTGATGCACTCCCGTACTACATGCCTGCCCAACATGCACTCCAAGTTGGGACTCCGGGGATGATAATGGGGAAACCGGTTGTCGACCCTGCTTTGTATGCACAGCAACCTCACCCCTACATGGCCCAGCAGATGTGGCAACCGCCGGATCCCGAGCAACAGCAGTCATCATCTGATCATTAGCAGCTCTAATAGCATAGAAGGTAGAGAAGGCAATTACAGTGTTGTAAATTGCTTTTAGTTGCAGTTTTCATTCCCTGGGGTATTCTTATATTTGCTTTGCTTTTGTAAATTGGTGACAAGACATGTTCCTTTAGACATCTCTGAGAATGTTGTACGGAATAAGGAGGCTTTCTATTTTCGTTGAAGTAATAAGTTGGTTACTTAGAGATGTAAAAATAGAAATACAAACGTAGAGATTTTCGTTGTCGACATATCCGGTTATTGTACGGAATAAGCAGTTTGAACTTCCATGTTATCTACCAGGTGGGGAAATCTTTACTGTAGTTTCTAATCTCAACTTTGAATCGGATGATGAGTTTATACACAGCTGCAAGAGGCTTAAAAGTTCCTGATGTATTCTCCATCGGCCTGGACGCCGATTTGAATGCATCTTCAAAACCCCGATCATACTTTACAGACAGACGGGCTTATGTTCCTGATGCATTCTCCATCAGGCCCTAGAACTACGGCCAAACACACTCAAAAGGCACACAAAGACTCAAACTGAAGCATCTTGAAGGCCTCATTATTGTTGCCCTCATCCGAGGATTCGATTGGTAGAGCTGGAAGAAGCTATCAGAGAGATCCGGCAGGAGGGTCGTGAATGTTATGGGGGTCAGGTTGAATTCAGCAACGAAGAATTCGTAAAGCTCTTGGTGCTTGATGGTTTCTTCATTGTCGAGCTGTTTCGGAAAGAAGTCTTTGTTATTATGTAACAAAAGATCTCTTACTATGATTTTGATTCATATATAAACTTAAGCATACAATACAACTAGCTGCAACACACTGGGACAATCCATCGCCATATAAACAAAGACATAAGCAGATTTCTTTAGATTCAGAAACTATCTGCGAAAACACCGCCGAGCCTTCGTCCCGATGCTATCCAACATTTTGAAATAGGCATGTCTCCATGATCTCTTAAACAGCAAAGGCCCTGCAATACTCCAAAACGCAACAACAAATCCCAGGGTGGCGCTCACATAAAACCAAAACCAATCTACTTCGAGTCCACCCTCTGATCCCTCACGATTTCCGGCATCATGAGGTTTTAAAGCGTTTATGCTGCAGTTATCACTAAGTGGTGGCCCGCAAAGGTTGTTGCCGACAAAATTTGATGCATCGAAAGTTTGGAGTTGAGTGCTTTTTGGAATTTCCCCCATTAGATTGTTGTAAGCCACGTTCAAGTAACTCAAGAATGTCAAATTCGATATACTTGAAGGGATTGCACCAGAGAGTTGGTTGAAAGAGAAGTCGAGCGATTCCAGTGTCCCCATATTGCCTACACTCTGAGGGATCCTTCCCGACAAACGATTTGTTGAGAGGTTGAGTGATCTCAAGCCTAAAAGATCGGTAATTCCGACAGGGATTTCGCCAGATAACTCGTTGTCTGAAAGGTCCACGCTTGTCACAAGTCGAAGGGTGCTACTGTATTCAAGCAATACCCCCTTGATCACCACTAATGTCGTCTCTATTGAGTGCATGAAATGACCAAAAGAATAAGAAATTGGGTCACTTGAGTTCCTTTTGCTGACCATGGCACTGAAATTATTGAAACATTCTGGTATCTTTCCCGACAAATTGTTATGTCCGAGGTCTAGAATTGTAAGAGAACTAAGAGCACAGAGTTCACGAGGAATATCACCTTGGAAATTATTCGAACGAAGACCGACAATCATGATTTTCGACAGCTTTTCACCAATCCAGCTCGGTATGCTCCCTTCGAATTTGTTTTCACTGAGGTCAAGAGCCAACAACGATGAACAATTCTGCAGCGTGGGTGGCAAAACTCCGGAAAGGTTGTTCTTGCGTAGGTGTAAAGACTGAAGAAAGATTAAAGATCCCATGGAGCTAGGAAGGCTACCACTTAGATTATTGTTCTTCAAATCCATGGAAAATATGCTTGGCCAACTCATCCAACAGTCAGGAATTGGTCCAGATAGAGAATTATAGGCTAAATGAAGAGTTCCCAGGCTCTTTGCTTCTTCCATCTTGCAACATAACAAGGGTGACATGGACCCCGAAAATGAATTGTTCGAAAGATCTAATGTACCGACATTGGATGACAAACATGGTAATGTACCCCGGAGGAAATTAGAACTCAGATCAATAGATGATTCATAACCAGCTGGAGGATTTGTGTTGAGAACTTCAGCAACATTCCCTTGGATTTGATTGTGAGAAATATTCATATAAAAGAACTCGGAAGACAAGTTCCAAAACCAGTCAGGAATTGTATCATTGATCCCTGCAACAGATATATCCAAAAACAGGAAATCCTTCTGGGAACGTAGCCAATGGGGAAATCTCGGACCTAAATTCCATGACGACAAAGCTATAACCCCGAGTTGGAAAGGCGGAATCCAACCAGGACTCACTCTCAAACTCAGTCCATGATTTCCTGAAGCCTGAAATGACCTCAGACTTGTGAGATTAGAGAAATGAACCTCAGAAACCGCACCCTGTAACATATTTTTACCAATCCATAAGACTTCCAGTTCCTTAAACTCTCCAAGCCATTCCGGTAAAGACCCATTGAATCGATTTTCGGATATGTCCACTTCTCTCAAGGATGCAAGTGTTCTTAATGAGTCTGGAATTGGACCAGAAATCGAATTCTTTGTCAGGTAAAGGCTACGCAGATTTCTGAATAGACCAAGTTGATTGCCCAGGTGACCAGAAAGTATGCAGTTAACCAGAAACAAGGACTCGAGTCTGTCAGACAGGCATCCTGACAGAGATTCTAAGACTTGTGATATGTCTTGACTCAACCTGACACCAGACAGAACAAGATTTGTCAAGCTGCAAAGGTTTCCCAAGGATCTTAATGCTGCTCCTTCAAGATTGTTGTTGTCAAAGATGAGGCTTACGGCCGATGTCAAGTTTCCGACATGCTCTGAGATTGTGCCTTGCAAGTTATTTGACCCGAGATTGAGGTACTGAAGATGGTTCAAACCATACAACCAACTGGGTATCGATGAATTGAATTGGTTGCTTGATAAGCTGAGATAGGTTAGAGAGGTCATGTTTCTTAGACTATCAGGGAAATGACCCCGGAAACTGTTATGTCTAAGATCAAGTGAAAACAGGGAAGTAAGGGTAGAAATCCAGCTAAAAATGGAGTTACTAAATGTGTTATAGGAAAGGTCCAGAGTTCTCAGAGTTGAAAAATTAACAGTTTTCAATGGAGGAAAAGGATCAAGATCACAATCGGATAGACGTAAGACATTCAAAGAAGGGAGAGCATTTGTCACCTCAAACCAATCGGAGGCTTTGCTGAGAGTTATGCCACTCAAATCAAGGTGTTTCAGATTTGAAAGATTTGTAAGCCATTGAAGATTCTCTGCATACAGATAATCAGATAATGTATCATGGAGATCAAGATACTGCACATTTGTAAGGTTTCCGAGTTGAGCAGGGATCGATCCCTCGAATCCAGCATTAGAGAGGTTGAGATATCTTAGATTGTGCAAAGAACCAAGGAATCCAGGAATTCTAACTCCGAAATTGTTTCCACTCAGGTCTACGTACCGCAAATGCTTCAAACCGAGCAAAGAATCTACCTTACCACTCAATCTAGATCGCTCAAAAGGCTTGCCTGGAAAGGCGGTATCATCTCTTGGATTATGAAGATTTCCAAGACGAAGCTCAACGACACGACCAGTTACATTGTCACATACAATCCCGGTCCAGTCACAACAGTTGCCTCCATTGCTGCTCCAAGAGGCAAGCAGGTCCGAAGCATCTGTCAGGTCTTGTTTGAACCTCATAAGAGCCTGTCTCTCACTTTCAAGACAAGCAGCATCCGAGATCACATTGCAAAGGCTAATAACTAGAAAACTGAGGCAAAAGAACTCTAGGAAAACAACAGTTCCAACTCTCTTGGAATCGTCCATGATTATGCAAAATGAAGAAAATGGAGCCGGTAGATTCGTCTACTTCATCTTGAAGCTAATTTATAGACATGGATGAATCTTTCCGGATTTATTTATTCTTTTACGTATGAAATCTTATCTAGTATGGCCAATGACAAGAGGAAAAGCTTTTAACACAAGTAGTTTAGTCATTGACAATTATGTTTATCAATTCTTTAATGGGAGAAGACTCTTTCATTTATACAGAAAATTTATAGTTGCCATGGTTGGTTTCACCTACTACAATCATATTGTGTAAAATTGTAAACCTGCTCAGTGAAATGTCAAAATTTAGAGATTAATTTAATAAAATGTAAATTTTCATCTTTTAACAGATTGGTGCAGCTTCAACTATTTCTTGGGAAACCTGTTTCTTGTCCATGTGTACTTGCATTAAAAAAACATGTTCATAGGTGTACCAAGACTCAGGCACAGTTCCTATTTTTACTGTAGTATATCAACCAAAGTTTAAATGCAATTTGAGTCAATTTCTCTAATATTTTTTTTTCCTGGAAAGTCTTTGTTACTGAGAAACAAATAGGGTAAAAGGGTCATTATACTAGAAAATAATGTTTTGCTGACAAGGCAACCTAAGATACAACTCTTATCTTCAAACTGACTGCAGTTCTTGCCTTTGGCCAAAGTCAGTTATGCTACAGTGGAACAATTAGCAACGTGGGGAAACAAGCATGGCAGAAATCTTGGAATCGGGAGCTTCCATGGAGAAATTTGTTCTCCGACCAAATTCTTCCTCTCGGCAACTTCCCCTCAGTGGACTCACTTTTTCTGTTAAAGACATGTAAGTCATCCCCTTTTATAATTTTTTTTTCTGTGGCATGATTACGGGTTAATTCAAAGCATGCTTCTCGTTTTGATGTTCTATTTTTAACTTTAGAAATTAAAACATGGAAATAGATTTGATGTGGATGGATATGTCACTGGGTTTGGAAACCCTGACTGGAAAAGGACTCATTCAGCTGCTGTATCGACCGCACCGGCTGTTCTTTTATATGTAACTGTTTCCTTTTTTTCAGTATGAATGTAGAAAATATACATTATGGTACTCCCACAAATCCTTGTGCACCGGATACGGTACCTGGAGGATCTTCCAGTCTGCCGCTTCCTTATGCGCAGGGCTCGTCGACTTCTCCCTTGGTGTGTATTCTTCTTAAACAAGGACTGCTTTTCTTTTATTTTCTCCATAGCTGTTTTTGAAGTGATTTTGATCTCTAACATAGGAACCGACACAGGAGGAAGTCTGAGAGCTCCTGCATCATATTGTGGGATTCTTGGGTTTAGGCCTTCACTTGATGCCATCAGTACTTCCGGTGTTATTCCAATGTCCCAGAGTTTCGATATCGGTAAGTATCTGATCAAAGCGTCTTAATATCTTGTCCTGATGAGAAATGTTTGAGAGATCTTTCAGTTCTGATAAACCATACAAGTACTTCTGAAATGACAAACTTTCGAAGTTATGGTTAATTAGATCTGCATAATTTATCGAACATCTCGGTTTTACGAATCAATCTTCTAACATCAGTTCTAATGTAGGATGATTTGCTAGAGATCCTGCAGTATTAAATCGAGTCGGACGAGTCCTGCTGCGTTTAACTATTGTAGACCCTGTCACACGTAGATTATTATCCCCGAAGATTGCTTCAGCTTGTCGAGCATTCTGAATGATCGAACGACTCAAGTTCTCGTAAAATCGGTGAAGCATTTTGGAGGTATTAATCAAACTATTGGCTTCTGTTATCCTCGAACTTCAACCTGTAAAAACTCATTTTGCTAGTGCAGCTCAAATTCTAAAGCATGTAAATCTTGGAAACTTTGAAGGAAAAAGTACCAAGTTTGCAGCACTTAATGCCTATGGAGAACGAAGATCCTGCGTATATATTCACCTTTGGCTGCCCTTTCGAGCTCGAGGCAACTGCTTGTAAGGTGCAACACATCGCTGAAATTTTAACCGATTCATCCGGGATCATGCGAGACCAATAGCCTTTTCTGATATCGGCTCCTGAACTTCATTTATATTCCATAGGTATGAATTCAAGAAGAACCATGCCGAATGGATCACAACAGTGAATCCTAAATTAGGTCCCGGACTATCTGAGGGACGCCGTTAGAACACCGGACGAAAACATAGATGTCTGCCACTCGGTTCAAACTGAATTACGGCTGCTCTTGCAGATCTTATAAGGTACTTGCAACTACTTGACAAAAGAGCAACAAGATTGTTTTTTACATACAATTTTGTATGAAAGCACTCATACTGGGCCTTATATTAGATAGTTGTATACTTGTATCCATTTCAGGATGAAGGCATCCTTGTTCTCCTTACAGTTCCAAGGCGGATATCCACCGAAACTACAATGGGATCCGCCCTCGGTCGAAGTGTTTCATGCTAGAGCTTTCAGCTTGCTATCGGTTGCCGGAGTAGCTGGATTCTGTCAGGTTCTCTTTCTCTCTCACTCACTCTCCACTCTCAACCACATACATACACAACAAAACACAACAAAAATCTTTAAAAGCATCAAAATGATAATTGTTTTTGCTTTTTTTTTTACAGGTGAATATTCCATTGGGGATGTATAATAATCTGCCTGTATCGATCTCCTTGGTGGAAAAACATGGTTCAGATGGTTTTCTGCTGAATCTTGTTGAGAATTTATATGACACCATTCAAACACTGACTGAGCTTTCATTTATTCTTTCTAATATATAATTTCTGACGATCCGTTGGATTTTTGGCATAAAGATTGGCAGCTGAGAATTCAAACATGATGAGAAGTTATCGACTCGTCTGTTAAGATTCGAATCTCATATCTTCAACTCGAAAACCTTAAGGTTTTTCTTGTTCTGATATAGATTGTTAGAATGTTTGGCATTCCCTTGAGGACAAACCATAAGCACTCGAATTTGACTATTACACCATTGAAAATTGGGTTAATTACTACAGAGGTCCCTGTAGCCTCGCACGCTGTGCACCAACAGAGAAAGATACCACCAGATGTAAACACTTGGTCTTATTTGATTGGGGTCCTGGTTTCTTCTTAGAGATCCAGAAGGACCATAGGTGCTTGCTACATGAACAAAACCACCCCAAACATCATAATCAAAGCTCACGTTAAACTCTTACTATTGAGGCTGCCTTCCTACAAGCTTTACTTATTGATTACCATTCTAACATACAGCAAACTAAAACCCTAAAGACAGAGAGCTTATATGGCCGATCAGGCATTCACTACGGTACCGCCGTTTGGGTGAAGGACTTGACCAGTTATGTATGAGGAGCAGACATTACAAGCAAGGAACACATACCACGGTGCAACTTCGATAGGATGACCAGCTCTCTTCATTGGCACTTGACTTCCAAACTGGTTAGACTTCTCTTCGTCGAAGGACGCCGGTATCAGTGGAGTCCATATCGGCCCCGGTGCAACACCGTTGACACGGATGCCTCTGTTCACAAGCTGAAGTGCAAGGCCTCTAATGAAACCCACAATGGCACCCTTGGTTGCTGTGTAATCGAGCAGCGTAGCGTTCCCTTTATACGCATTCACCGATGTCGTGTTTATTATCGAGCTGCCTTCCTTCATGTGCTTCAAAACATGCCTACAAATATAAAAATAAACCACGCTGTAACGCACAACATCCGTAATCGCGACACCACAACCGCAATTTAATACTACTATAAAATAACACATTGCTCCTGATTTTCATTACCTGGTCATGAAGAAGTAAGAAAAGATGTTGGTCCTAAACACCCTTAAAAGCCTTAAAAGATGTTGGTCCTAAACACCCTTAAAAGCCTTTCCTCATCAATCTCCTCTACACTGCTTGTCTCATACTGTTCGGCAGCATTGTTAACCATAATATCGATGCAACCGTAAGCTTTCACGACTTCATCGACGACCTTTTTGCAGTTCCGTCAAATCCCAAATCAGCCGGTACGGCCATCGGATCCTTTGCCTCGGCCGTCTTATCCTTTTTCACCATCTCGAGAGTGTCCTTTGCGTCCTTATCCTCCTGGCCCTTCACATAAGTGAAGGCCACAGTTGCACCCTCTTTGGCAAACAAGATGCAAACCGATCGGCCTATCCCGGAATCTCCACCGGTGACTAAAGCCACCTTTCCCTACTAAAGAGAAGAAAATTATTCATGCATGGGGAAAAATTAAAATTTCAGGCAATAAAATTTTATAAAATGAACTGGTACTTGAAGCTTGTTTGAAGGCTTGTAACCTGGGCTGCTGAACTGAGGGACAGGGTTCATAACATGTTCTTTTCTCGGTTGTGAATCTTGTTTCTGAGGAGGCTGCTGCTGCTGACCACCAGAAGCCATTTTGCTCCCGAACAATCTAACGATTTTCTTGGGAAAATTATTTCGATGAACTGTGAAGTGGGGTTTGTTTGGATACCGAGAAATACAATGGAACTGACTAGTGAACGGGAAAACATATATAGGGTGGTGCTCGGTGGGGTTTTCATCCTAACGCGATACATGGGAGAGTTGATGCAACAACGGCTTATATAAAACCGGGGTTATGAGTTGGACACATGGGACCAGATGTCAGAGTGAAATGTCGACGTGTCATGTCAGCCTGCACCGCAGTGGACACGTATGTGGAAACGGACTTCTTATATATATATATATGCACTAAAAATAACATAAATCGGTTGTAGGTGTTTTTTTTATTAAGAGTCTAATTTTTTAAGGTTAAATATGGTATAATTTTAGTTGTAACATACTTAAAAAAAGAATTTTAACCTTCATAAATATAATAAATTTAGTTGGAAGGATCATTATTATTTCTACAATATCCTATACAGATTAAACGTAAATTTATATTTAACACATAACATATTTAAAACACATTAATTAAATTTTAAATGTACTTGTTGTACGGAAAGTTTAAATATGACATGTTAAGAAAAGAAATAGGCTTGTTAAAATTTAATGATATTTTATTTATTACATGTCAGGTCTAGTTTGTTTGTGTAATATATGTATCGTGACAAAAATCAATCAATATATTTTATATTAGATCTGAAGTAACATTTAATACTCAAGTAAGTTATTAAATTGATAGAAGGACCTAATTAAAACGATGTCGATAGTTTAAAGACTTAATAAGAATGTTTTTGAAGTTTGAAGATGAACTTAAAAGTTTAGCATAGTTTGAGAGTTCCTAATGCAATTAACTTTAAATAAAAGTAAAGGGTAAAGTACATAAATGATCTCTCGACTATAATGTATTATTTTTTGTTAAGTCCTCTAACTATTAAAATATTCATATATTTCAAAGTCATCATTTTTCGTAAAAAAAATAGCGGTCATCTGAGATGAATATTAACCTATTAACTGAGATGTGATAATAACCCTAGAATTATTTTATTCGTATTTTGTGGATCAAATCTCTGTTTATATTATGCCGTTGAGCTAGTGCTTGAAACATTACGATGGTAAATCGGTGCTTGAAAGTAACAACGGTGCCAATAAATATCATTAAAATATAATTTTATCATATCTCAATCACAAGGTTATCGTCCAACTTAGAAAGATGTCATTTTTCTAATGAAAAATGGTGATTTTAGAACATATAAATAGTCGAATGATAATTTTGTAACTTTTAATAATCGATGACTCAACAAAATAACATCTTATAGTCATAGGGTTATTTTGTAACTTTTAATAGTTATAGGATTATTTTGCAATTTTTAATAGCCAGATGACTAAAAAAAGTAATATCCTATAAACAAGAGACCATTTGTTTACTTTACCCTAAAGTAAAATATGAAAATGGGCTATGAGACAGGTCGATAATAGGGTTTATTTTTTTAATGGGTAAAGTATATAAATGAACACTAAGCTTTTCAGATTCTTGCATTTAGGTCCCTCAACTTTTAAAAGTTGCAATATATTCACCAAACATTTAGTTTGTTTGCAATATGATCTCCGACGTAACGGCCGTTAGGTTAAATTATATAAATGGTCACTGAACTTTTTAGGCGCTTTCATTTAGATCCTCCAACTTTTAAAACTTGCAACACAGTCATCAATTACATTCTAAACCCCAAAATCCAAAAATGTTTCAATTACACTCTAAACCTCAAATTCCAAAATACTTCAATTATATGCCCATCCCCAAATTCACAATCCATTCTCAAAATCTATCATAACAAACTGAACTTGAAACAGTAACCCTAAACCCTTAAAACATACTTATTTTAATTTTTTTAATAAACTATAAGTGAACAATAAGTGATTATGTTGGGTTTAGGGTTATGTTGGACCTAAATACTCAATTTAGTTTATAAAATAGATGACTCAATTTTTTTTCGATTTGAGTTTATAAAATTTAAATCAAGTCGAATTGAATTGAATTTTTGAGTTTCTGTTTAAATTTAATTATAAATACTTATAATACTATAATATTATTTGATTCTAATTTAAATAGTTTTTTAACTATATACAATACATATATTTCTTCATATTTTTTTTTCTATATGTGATATACATATATCACATAGAGTCAATGGACTAGACTCAAACTTAAAAATTAATCTTCTAATTACTAAAATTTTTGAGATATTTGAGTTGTATTTTACAACTCGATTTTAACTTGAAATTTTTTTAAGTTGAGTTTATAAAATTATAACTCAAAGTCAATTTGTATCAATTAAAGTCGAAAAATAATTTTTTCAAATCAAATTGAGTATTGTTCACTTGTAGTTGGTTAAATCTAACTTTTAAATCCTAAACCCAACATAGTCACTTATTATTATGGACCCAAAATGAACTAAATGTTGTTGATTATGTTGGGTTAATTGGTGGGGAAATTTAACATTTAGGGTTATATTTTGAGGGTTTAAGGTTGCTGCTTCAAGTTTAGCTTGTTGTGGTAGATTTTGAGAATAGATTATGAATTTGGGGTTGGACATGTAATTGAAGTATTTATGGAATTTGAGGTTTAGAATGTAATTGAAACATTTTAGAATTTGGGGTTTATAACGTATTTAGTGACTGTGTTGTAAGTTTTAAAAATTGGGAGACTTAAATGCAAATGTCTAAAAAATTTAGTAACTATTTATATAATTTACCCTAACGACAGTGAAACAGTGGTTACGTCGGAACCATATTGCAAACAAACTAAATGTTTGGTGACTGTATTGCAAGTTTTAAACGTTTAAGAACTAACTGCAAGCATTTAAAAAGTTCAGTGACCATTTATATACTTTACACTTTTTTAATTTGAGGAAATGGCCAATGGGCTAATCATTGTCATTCTTCTTAGTGCGCACAATCTAAACCTACGCACCTTGGAAAATGGTTCGAAATAAAAATCAGAGATTTTCAGACGAACCGATAGATCGCTCGAAAAAAAGGGGAAAAAGGAAAGTGCCTTCGGAGCCTTTGAAACTATGACCGGAAACGATGATGATGTTGGATTCGGCGATTTCAAGTTCTTCTCAACGTCACATTCGATCAACGGTCCCGGTTTCTCCGTCAATAACACCGCCTACGACGAAGACGATTATGATTGGGGAGATTTCATAAATTCCGCCAGTAATATCCCCCGTACCGGATCTCTTCCTGTCAATGATATTCAATTCGACCCCTTTCCCAAATCGCCCTTTCCATCTCCCCCTGGCTCGGCGCCGAGCGGAGTAGAGTCGGTGAAAACACAAAGGGATAAGATGAATGGAGCTTTACCATTATCGATTTTCGGGGAAGAAGAAAAAGAAGATGATGGATCTGTTGCTGTGGACGCGGGGCTTAACGGTATGAATAGTTCGTTTTCGTTTCATAAAACGGGTGGGAATTTGAAAGGAAACGGATTGGATTTAAATGATTTGATAGGGGATTTGTATAAACAGAATGAGAAGGGGAATGTGTCAAATGGGTTTCGGTCGGGTGTGGACGTTAATCCGGTAGTTGATTTGAATCCGAAGGTGGAGATTTGGAATCGGAATGTGTTGAATTCGGGGATAAACGGATTGGGTCTGAAGATGGATACATTGGATTTGGGTGGAAATGGTGCTGCTTCGGTTAAAAAAGAGGAGAATTTGGGTTCAAATGGCTATGCATTTGGGATGGAAAGACAAGAGGCCAATTTGGGGTTTAGTGGGTTGAACTCGGGTTCAAATGGGTCGGGTTTGGGTGAGAAAGGATTGAATTTGGATTCGAATGTTGGGAATTCTGATTTGGTTGACGAGGAGGACGATGATGGTTGGGAATTCAAAGCTGCGGAACCAAAAGCAGAAATGGCAGTTGAAAATTTGAAGGTAAACTTTATTTAACTTTTGTTATTTTGATTGTCAGCGATTTCCAATGTTAATGTTTTGTTAAAAAGAAGTGAGGACATGGAAATTTTGATACTTAGTCCTCTCGTATATAAATGACTGTTTTAGGAAGTAAGGTTTTTAACGTGTATTTTATTGATGTTTATTAGAATAATCCAAATGTGCCGGTTTCTAATTTCAATATGTTCCCTTTGAGTTGGGATCCGTTGGGTGCAAATTCCAGTGTGCTGAGTTCAAATATTAATGGGGTAAATGCGAATGCAAGTAGTACGAACTCTAATGTAGTTGATGAGAATGACGGATTTAGTGATGACGATGGATGGGAATTCAAGGCTGCAGAGCCCGAGACACGCTTTGGAACTGGTGATACTAAGGTAAAATTTAATTCTTTTTCATTTTTAATAAGCCGGAAATTGCTTTCAACAATATATCTACAAAATAGTTCCGTAAGTTCTTTTACCTTTGTTAGTGGTGATAGTTTGTTGTTACTGGTGCTATATAGGGTGAGATGTATAATTTTGCATTTGGATCTTGCTTATACATGAAGACAATTATTTTGTACTTCAACTTTGATTAATACATATATTGACCAGTTGTTCAGGGACTCTGTTGTTTTTACTACTGCTGACATTTACTACTTTGAAGGTTGGCCAGGAACAGGAAAATCCTAAGGGTCCTGAACTCAGCTTTGGGTTTGGAAACAGTGTGGATGGTTCTAGTGACTTTTTTGGCACATCAGTTGGAATCTCTAATAAACCTGGTGAACGGAACTTAGGATTTAGTTTCTCCCCTAGTTTTGAATCTCAAAACAAGCAGAATGTTACCGAAAATGTTGAGATTTCTTCTTCAGTTGGTAAAACTATTGGTTCTGACGAAATATCCTGGGCTTTTAAGGTGATGAATTGATTGATACTTTTTTCTCTGTCTATCGAAAACAATCTACCTTATCTATCTCAATTTTTTGTACTTGTATCTGTAGGAAGAGCCAAAGGTTGCTGATGCTTCCTCTTTTGGGGTAGAAGATTTTTCATTTGGCAATCATATCCAGGTATTTGTTCATTTTACTGCTGGAGTAAATTGTCATTCATAAAAAATTTGACGGGCCATTAGTGGATCCAATATGTGGTGTAAACTTCTATAATTTGATCTCATGTTAAGAATTAAATTCCTGTTGCATGAGATATACCTTTTTCATCTGATAAATTGTATTTTGTTTTTCATTGAGAAAAGTTACTAGTGGTACACATTGGAAAGTTTTCTTCTTTCATTTACTGTTCCTTTGATGTGCTCAGGAGAATGAGGATACTTCAAAGAAATCCAAAGGAGCGTTGCCCCTGTCCATCTTTGGTGATGAAGAAGTTGAAACTGAGGATCCATTGAGATATGTAGATGTTTCCATTAAACATAACATTCTAAGGACTGATACTCATCCAAATATATCTATCAATGATCTGATAACAAGTTTATATAGTCAAGCTGAGAAAAAGGCTCCTTTAAATCAGATAAGCGAACCAAGTGAAAATGGACTTCTTTCCTCTCATACAGCGGTGGGTCCCGACTTAGCAAATGGCGATAATAATTTTGATGATGATTTGTGGGAATTTAAAGATGCCGTTTCTGGAACCAGAGGAGAAAACCGGAATTCTCCATTTGATTTTGGAGAGTCATACGGAAAGTACTCTACCAAAACGGAGCTAAATGATTATGTGGATTTGTATTCTAAATTGATTTCTGAATTGTGCTTTGTTGCACTTGGTCATCTTGACAATATGAAGGTTGGTAGAGTCCTTCATTTTCTTCTCTTGCATTATTTTTGTTGATATTATGTTTTTAAAAGTATTTTGTTTCTGAAATATGTTTTTAATTAGAAAGATAAAAGTATTGCTGCTCCTTCTGGTGAAGATTCTGAAGTAAAAGCTATTGAGAAGGAAATCCAGGTATGCAGTTATTTATGATAATTCTTGCTATGTTCCTTCCCCTTTTCTATTATTTCTACTCTCTCTTTTATTTGAAAGGTTTATGCCGAAAAGATAAGGAGAATGCCTATAACCCCCCCTTTTCTGTTTATATTTCTTGAATTTGTGACCCTTTCTCGCTTCATACCAAAATCCTAAATCTGGAAGTTGAAGCTTTCTGGAGCTTATTTCTCTTGATACTGTTTTGTGTGGCTTATATTATCCTCAAATGATAGTATAGTTGTTCGTGTTCATTGAATATTTAATGTCCGAGTCTTGTCTGTTTCCTGTGGTTGTAGGATCTATGTAATGAACTGCAAAAAGATGGCATAATATCTGAAGTAGCCTTGGAGAATCTCCAGTCAAGATGTATTCACCTTGGTGAATATGCCAAGGTTCTAGTAGAAAAGAAGTTTCAAGTGCTGGAATCAGAATATCAGTTATCAGAGAAATTATCACTGGTGTGTGTCTTTGGCTTTGATTCATGGGGATATATGCTCTTATTTTCAAGAAATTGATTTGATTCTATTCTTGAGCGATGCATTAACAAAAGTAAAAGTGTATTTCTTTTCCATTACGACTCCTAGGATTCTAGGACTCTCATTTGGTGGGACTATATCTGGGTATGGCCCTTTTATTTTTCAGGAGTTAAGACTTTTTTCCCAAACATCAAGTTGATCTACATACCATAGCAGGTTGTTATTGAGTGGGGTTCTGGCTGATATCTATAACTTCCCCTCCATGGACCTGTTTGTCATATACATTAATGTTCTTAAATTTATTATTTCTCGATATGAATGGTTATATCTGAATATACATCTCAGAATATGAAATGCTGTTTAGAGGGTAAATATTTTAGTTTCCATATGTTCGATGATTTTTTTTCTGATTAATGGCTTTGACCATGACATGACACTGGCTTGTATTTTCAATTCAATAGGCAGAGAAATATATAGCATCAACAGTTGAACTCTTGCGACATGCTGCATCAACATTAAAGATTCTAAAATTGGGGTCAGTTGAAGATCAATCTAATTATGTAGCTACGTGGTTGAGGATTTTGTCTGTTTGTGAACTAGAGCTGAAACAAGGTGCTAAGATTTGGAAGCAGTCATTACAAAATAACATCCACAATGAAATATTATCTGAACCTCAAGGTGCTTTACTTGAAAGGCGAGCATATAAAATTTTTATGCACTCTTTGTTGTATTAATCTATGTTTTTTGACATGATATTTTGGTCATTTATAGGCAGGCAGTACATTCTAGCACTTGGAGAGATTTTCAGAGTTGTCAGAATTATTGGTTCTTTGTCCGTCGAACTCTACAAGCCTTGGATATTGTTCAGTTCTGAAAGTCACACTAACTTCCTTGCTCTTGTGCGGGAGTGTTTTACTATGTGGTCAAGTTCAGGACTTGAAGAAGCCCTTCAAAGTTTGACTGATTCAACTGATTTAAAATATGATGTTGAAGCTTTACTTGGTTCTATTCGGAGTATTCATGATCCTGATGCGCACGAACTCTATAAACAAGTTTTCTCCGGACAAGAACCTACATGCTGCCTATCAGGTTTAACTGCTGCAGCAGTGCCAGGTATGAATTTATTGGATTTAAGCTAAGTGGATAAATAAGTAAAGGGAAAGAGAGACATAGAAGCCATTTCATGTTGTCATGTGCTAAGGGTAGGTAGGTCACCAAAGGGGCTTGCTCTATAGGGTCTTGAAGAGTGTAGATTTATGTATAATACATGTTGACCTCTCAAATAACGCGGTTCTTAACGTTTTTTTAACCTAAGTTCCATAATCTTACTAAAACATTGTCAATGTTTTTTGTTTTTAAGTTTCTTTTAGGGCCTATATAGGGTAAAGTTGTTATAATCATGCTTTTAAGTTCCAACATGATAATCATGCTTAGTTAATTTTGAAGTGTGATAACTGATTCTAAAAGATAGCATTTGACTTTGCCTTGGAATATATCCAAGCAAAACAACCTGGACCATCTTTTCTAGGTCCACTCGCACCAGTCTAAAATAATCTCGATTCTCTTGTATCAGGCATGAAAATGGTGCTTTGGGATGGACGGCATTACTTTGTAACCATTGTCAACTTGTGGGCAAATTTAATAAGTCGTGATCCACCAAATTTGCCACACATACATGCTCGAAAATGTTGATGGCGTGAAAAGACAAAGGTACATTTTCCGAAAGTTTCACGGCATAGATCACGCTGAATCATTTTTCTGTCCGGCACGAGGCTTCTGGAATGTAATCAGAGTTACTCTGGTACAAGGATTTTACTCTTGGAAGAAAGATGTAGAAGTCTGAGTTTCCTGGAATCCGATCTTGTGCAAGGGGGCTAATCCGATCAAATACGAACATCTATTAAATATTTATTTAGATTGGTTGTCATTCTTTTTGAGAGAGCTGTTATATAGAAGTATGGTGTAGAAACCCTTCCCTAGTTTTCTGATTTGCTTGTATTCTATTATTCATTTGTTAACTGGGTGAAATCAAATAAGCACCCCATACATTTAGAGATAAGGAGTTGCGAGGCAAAATAGTTCATCAGTGCCTTTCTTTTCTCATGTATCGCAACATCAATAATTTCAGTGATTACAAATTTGTTTTAAGTACCTAATTGTGCCACATATTTTGAAGTTCCGTTGTTCGTTTTACGGTCGTGACTATCTTAACCAATAATGTTTTCTTCAAGGTTTGAAGCCGGATGCTGTTTTTGAGAGTATAATGTACTTCTGTACCATATGTTTCGCCATATTTTAAAGTTTTTATTGTAGATGGTTCAAGTCCTAAAATCTAGACAAGTTTTGAAAAAGGTCCTTTTCCTTGCAGGCGTGTATAAAATGGAGGTGGTGACTGGTGAGGGACCCAAGTGTCGGGGTAAATTCAAACCTATGGACCTATTCTAGTTAGAAAATGAATGCTATAGCCCTTGTTGAACAAAACAAGAAGTCAATAACATTGAAATTTCAAAGATCTAAACACATCAATCAATTTTTATATTAATGGTGATTAAGGGATCATTTTGGTATAGCTCACTGAGTCAAAAGAATGATGATATCCTGATGCATTGCTGATCTTATTCACACTGTTCTTCATGCTCATCTTCTTACTTACTACCACAATATCAAATATATTAAGTTCTTCAATGTTTCTTTTATATATTTGATCAATATTCTCATATTTACGTATGAACACAAATTACTGTATATATATATTATGTCAAGAAATTGCTTAATTCGGTTTCTGTTCCAGTTTCAACTTTTAAAAGTGAAGATAACCTATTACTTGAGAAAATCATCCACATCAAAATTTGTAAACAATTTCAACACCCACCTTAAAATTTTGATCAAGAATGTATGATAACATATTCATATTCCTTTTTTATGCATACAAATCTCCTGCAAACCAAACATCATTCCTAAAAAGGAAATTTGAATATATAAGTCCAAGAAAAATGAATAAGTCTTGAGGTTTCCTAAGAACTTCGTAAATATATACAGCTTTCTCAAAGGTGTATGGTGTATCAGCTGCTTGCATTGCTACTTGTTGTGTAATGGATCAGGAGAAGAGGGAACTTCTCTGTTAATTGTAGCAAAGAAACCGTCTGTCCCATTGTCCACACTCTGATTCTTCCAAGTTCTCTGAGTAGTTGTTGTCTCCTCTTCATCTTCAACCTTCTCTGTTAGAAACCTTGCTCCCAAGACTCCATGGTTTAGAGCTGAAATGCTCAGAAACATCAATAAAAGATAACCTGCTAAAAGGCCCTTTGAGACCATTGTGTCTATCACAAGAAGCTGATGAAAGTGGGAGATAAAAGACTACAAAGAAAACACGAGAGTGAGAGAGAGGACTGGAAATTTTAAGTTTATAGAAGTGTTATATAGGGATTCAAAGCTAAAAAAAAAGTGAAAATATTTTATGGTCAAATTCTCTTGCATTGACAATGAGAGTGATGTACAGACCTTGTTTTTCTTGTGCAGTCTCCATTGGAGGAGCCCACTGCAGCAGTTTTTCTTAATAATTTTGATTACCAAGTTGTCCCCTATGTGATCATGGTGCATATGAAGTGTTTTCTTGGGAAGTTAACCAAGTTACCAATAAAATTTACTATGTCAGACATGTTATGGTTCTAGTCTTGTGAATAAGAAAATAATATTCAAGGTATGATTTTATGTGACGGGACGAATTTATAAAATAGTTGAATGGTTGAAGTCATTTATACTCACCTGGTTCATTCTAATCGGGGATAGATCGAAGCGATTCACCTAAAAATTTCATATTCTCATATAATTTAAATATTTTCCTTATATTTTTTCATTGATAATTTGTTTTCACTCCTCTAAAATTTTATAAACACACTTTCTGTAACATAAAATTCTGCACTCGTGATATTTCCAGTCAAGCCTAGCTAATGTCACTCAGATTCCAACAAACTACACCTAACTCAAATATTTGTCTAAAAAGAGCCTCATTTTGAGGATGATACATTTGACTCACTTACCCTTTCTTCCTTTCTCTCATCTTCTAACTATTGGATTTGCTAATGTCCATATTAATACAGTTTTCAAGGGCTACTGGCACTATATGTATATTAAAAAAACTGGGTTCTTTGCCTTTTGAAGAAGACGATACATTTACCTTATAAAAAAGGCATCTTCATCTTTTCTGCTGGTAGCCTGTGGGGTTTTAGGTTTCAACTACTAATATTTTAGTGTAGGTTTGTATCTTCTTATGGACTTCCTTGTGGCAGCTATTTCTAAGTGTAAATAAGTGGTTTTTTTATAATCTTTTTGAGTTTTGTCTTTACTTTAACCCCCTTTTTTATCATTCATTTTTTGCATGATTATATTTCTGAAGGGACAAAATAACTTTTTGTCCTTGAATTTGGTAATTTTTTCAAATTTAATCCTTAAACCTCTTTTGTTCATCTTTTTAATCATTGTAAGATTGATGTGAAGGGAAAAATCAGAGATCAAATTAGAATAAATTACGAAATTCAAGGATTAAAAGTTATTTTATCCGATATTTATGAATCAAAAGTCCAAGTATCCCTAACATGCTAATTATGACATTATTAGGACTTTAAGGCCCCAAAATGAGAGAGTTTAAGCCCACATGTTTTGACTCAAAGGGTAGACACGGGAACAAAATTCATGAGAGAACATCATGTTAAGATGTTAAGGACACTTCCAAATTCTTTTTTTCCAATGGGATCCAATGCATGAAATGATGTGAAGTTGACCATTGCTTGTGTTGCTAAATTAACTTGTCCACAAACGAACCCTTTTAATCAGTGTTGAATTATTGGATTGAAAGCTGCAAGAATTAGAGTATTGAGACACTATTTACTATTATTAACCCTAAATGCCCAAAATTTTGCTCATGTTCCTACCCTTCACCCATCTGTCTATATGGTGAATCATCTTCTACAGGGAATTTACGTATACTCTAATTATGGTTTTAGCCCCTATACTACGCTGAAATCGGAAACTTAATCCCTCAACTTAAATTAGGCTTAAATCAATTCATCCACTTTAATAATATTATTAGCAGATGCAAGTTTATGGCACCATTTAGTCAATGACGTATGCAAGATTTTATGTTAAGTGAACTTCTAAAATTTTAAGAAAAAATAAATTTATAATATTTTAGGAGACGAAAAACAAATTATCAATAATATAAATAATATATATATATATATATAATTTGAACATTTTAAGGGAATGATTACCCCAATCACCCCCTCCGTCCATCCTACCATTAGTTAATGTGATTCACAGATTTTCACATCACCTTGTGCAATCGAATAAGAGTATAAAAACTTCACATCATCACTTTAAGTATTGTACCATATTAAACCACACTAAAATAAAAGGATTAAATCCAAAATTTTAGCACATAGAGGGACTAAAATCTGAATTAGACCTTTACTTGTTCGAGAGCTTGACCTCTTATCAACCGGCAGCCAGAAGTTTAACAGGCAGCCACCAGACTGGTTTTTCCGATCGACAAAACCAAAGAACCAGAGGGTAAATGAGCTCGGAACAAACCATAAATCAAGTTTGAAGAGAAAATGGAGAAGAAATGCAATTACATTGGAACAGTCACTTGTAAATTTATATTCCCACAGCACTAAAAATGAATGAATACATGATGTTTTACTTTATCAAGAAAAATATTTCCGATGATTAACAGCCGAAGGACCAAAATTCGCTTTCACTGTAATCTACAACTAACCCGATTAGGACAGTTTCCTCTTATACTGAAACGGTGAACAAATAGAGCTTGAGCACAACAGCAAGGGCCAGCTGCAAGAGAAAGATACCAGCAACTATCAAGAACCAACTTTCTCCAGCTGAAGTAATGTGAGCTTTGAGATTAAGTGCCACAAAAGTTGCCGACATAAACCCGGCTACACCTGCAATAATCCATCTGAAAATTTCCAAGGGGACAACAGATAGACACTGCAACCAAGTACAAACAACAATTTTAGATGCAAATTTTGTCATAGAACATTGCTGAAAAGTTGTTAAACTTCGCAGGGTTCAGATGATACAGTCTCCATAAATCCCGGGATTTCTTTTCTTCTAACTGTTTACCCGGTTTTTTAAACAATTGGAATTTCTTTAAAATTAGAGGGGAAAGATGCTGGTGCTGGGGAATCAACTTAGAGCCTACGTAAAATACTTTCGTGAAAAGTTTTTCCAACTCTGAAAGATAAATGAGAAACTGGAAGACAAACAGGCTTATCATTCGGAGAACTTACCATTGCTGGAATAAAGATAAACAAGGAGTATCCATATAGGCAAAACAATTGTACAAGGCCTGATGGTGCTGAGAAGTACTTGAGAATAACAAACAAGACAAGAGGAACCACGGTGACATATCCATAGAACACACCAGCAGACCATGTAATCAGATTTATGTCATAATTCCATTCTTTGTCCCGGAGCTTGTGTGCTATATAAGTCACAAAAGTCCCAATAGACGCTGCTACAAATATAAGAGTGGTGCAGATCCAGAATGGTCCATATCTGCATAACATTGAAAATTTTCAATCATGCATGAAGAGCAAAAGAAGAGTTCTGAAGGGACAAAGTGAAATATTTCCAGGAGATGAAAGTTATTATATGGCAGCTAATGAGAGGAAAATCAGATTTTCGGAAAAGCATACTTGTATGGCACGTCAGATAATTATCCATAACCAAGAAAATAAAACTTGTCAATGATCAACTCTTTTTCCTCTTTGTTTAGTGTTTTAGGCACCCAGTCCTAAATAAATGTTTCTAATCATATGAAATAGCAAAGAAACTTTCCATTCTCGAGCTTAAATAAATTTCTATACACCTAGATTCAATAATTATTCAAGCTCACTCTCTATAAATACAAATCAACCCGGGGCAGAAAACTCACAAATCAGGATTGGTAGCTGTTTTCTTCGTAAATGTTCCTCTAAATGGATAGAGTGACTCCATAAGTCTATCCAAAACATCTGAAGTATCAACATCAAAGTACGGCTTATATGCAGCAACAGTGAATTTATGAAGCCAACCACCTCCTTGTGATTCATCAGAGCCCCTAGGAGAGCCAGCAGCAGGTCTTGAAAATGAATCTGCCTCAAAAAATGTCATCATTTGTCACCAAACACAACAACTAATTTTGTTCTCCATAAGTCTATCCAAAACATCTGAAGTATCAACATCAAAGTACGGCTTATATGCAGCAACAGTGAATTTATGAAGCCAACCACCTCCTTGTGATTCATCAGAGCCCCTAGGAGAGCCAGCAGCAGGTCTTGAAAATGAATCTGCCTCAAAAAATGTCATCATTTGTCACCAAACACAACAACTAATTTTGTTCATGCAACAAACTAATTAGAGTTGTCATTTGAACTATACATATCAGAAACTATTTTTAATTTATTTGAATGTTACATTCATATAGAAGTTATATCAAACGTATCATCAATGTTATGGATCATCTTTCGTATTAATAAGTAGAACTCCATCAAACCAAATATTTAAATTACTAATTCATCGACATGAAGAAAAAGCTAAAGCAAATTGGTATACACAATGCAACCAAGATCATGATTCCTTATATAATGCACCAGGATACACAAATCAAAGCATAAGAACTGCCGCGAATCAGACTAACCCAAAACAAAACCAAAAATTAAAGGAAGTCAAATTGAAGAAAATGAGAAGTACCGTCTGCATCACGTGGAGGTTGAGCTCCACCAGAGATCTTTCCCTGCACACCTGACGGAGGAAACGTTTGGAGGCTCGAATCTACAATAATGATTGATTAATTAATTAAAAAAAACAATACACACAAATAGGTACCTTAAAGCTAAAACAACACTCTTAAACACTTCGTTATCCAATAAAACACAATTTCAACTCATTCATTAAATTCCGATAATCCTTTCACTTCTTGCATTTCTAGCGCGACCAAACAATCAACTACCATAAAAATTACATTAATTTCAATTCAGATCGATAATTTAACAATTAAAAAATAAACGAGCACCTGCAAATTGGACCGGGACACGGCCGGGGTCTGAAACGGCCTGAGAAATTAAGGATTGAAAAAATAATTAGAGAACGAGATCTGATTGACTTTATCCAAAAAGTAAACAAAATTAAAAGTCCTAAATTGAGAACTAATTAAAAAAAACGTCAATTCGTTAAACAAAACTTACGGGTACGGACCCAGAAACTTTCTGGTTATCAATGCTGGTATAACCTCCGGACATCATCTTTTCTTCTCTTCTCTTTGTTCTCCAATATCTCTCTCTTCTCTCTTGTTGAACTCGAGACTTTTTATTTTTATTTATTTATTGGTTAAAATTTGCTTCAAGGCCCTGTTGTTTTCGCACACTTTTAATTTAGTCCCCTGTTTTTATTTTTAGAAACTTATTTTTATTTAATTTTTTAATTTAAAATTTTAAGTATAATTTCATTTTTAATATATATATTCTGGTTTTACTCAGTTGACCGGATTGGGTGCGCTCTATCATTATTATATATATTTTAGGATAAACTACGTATTTATCAATTTTCTATTTTAGTATTTAAACTTTCAAAATTTTCAAAATCATATCCAAAGTTCAGTTTTTGTTTCATTTTAGTACCCACAATTAAGTTTTGAAAAAAAAAATAAAAGTCTAGGAACCAAAGCACGTTTAGTACCTAAATCATACTTAAGTTTTGAAAAAAAAATGAAAATTTAGGTACTAAAACGGATCGAAACTGATAGTTTAGATACTAAACGCGTTAAGTTTTTAAAGAAGGATACTAAAATGGAATAAAAAGTAAACTTTAGGTATGGTTTAAAAAAAACAAAAGTTTAGATACTAAAACGGATCAAAATTGATAATTTAAGTATTAAATGTGTAATTTACCCTATATTTTATTAGTTCAATGTATTTATAAGATAATATATGTTCAAAATATTTTTTAGACTATAACAATGTATACACATCCTACAGACACAGTTGCTCTAATAAATTATACGTATCGTTGTTTTGATTGTTTCGAGTTTTGATTGTTTTGGTTTATTTATCGACTTTTTCAAATTTGACACTCGTAATTGGATCGTGTTATTTTAGATTTAAGTCATTCTAGATTCAATAGTAACGTCAGATATCTACAAATTCGAATATTTTCACCATATTCTTCAAATATATATTACAAAAAATGACAATGAATTCCTAAAAAAAAAAACTTTTCTTTCTTTAACCCCTTGCCTGTCATGGTAATAACAATATTTCAGAGCATCAAGCCATTAGCCATTGATACCTCCACATTCTGTTATATAAGCAGCATCTATACCTAGCTTCGAACCGCGATGCTCCCGTCTTCTAACCGAAAGGAAAACGACGACATAATTCTATACTATAATTTGAAAAGAATACGCAATTGTACTACAAGTAAATATTATGCGACTGTCTTCGCTTTGCATTCCGACTTACACGCTTATTTCGAGGATGAAGCAGAAAGAGATCATCTCTGGTTGGTTTACCTGAAAGAGCATCGACGTTGCTGCGGCTAAGTTTCAAAGAATCCGAACCTTACTCCGATAAACTACAAACGGTTTGTATCCGAATGATGTCAGATCGTTAACTTAGACTCCAAGTAATAGCTGATATTTGTTCATGTCATGCCTTTTTTAGTCTACTCCTTGTAAGCAATAGATATCTTTGGACAGCAAGTATAAGAACCCAGGCTGTGGCTGAAATTTTCTCTTTGATCATCAGAAGCAAAGCAGAGCTTAACACGGTCTTCGTGATTTGAGCCTCTAATCCCTTGAAAAATCCGGAAATCCCTTCCCTTTTCCAAATAGTACGGATGACACCCAACACTGTTTTCCGTGGTTTTGATTGTGCTCTCTTAGTTTGATCACCGTCGTCGTCGTCTGGATCTGCGGCTTGGATCATTACCTTGCACCTGCATTGAGGAGATTGAACACATTGCTTCTGTAAAATTCAACTCTAGCGCACGCTTCTACGATGTCACAATATGGGAGAGTGGCTATTTACCTGATTGCCGGATAAGTCAAAATAGTTGCAATACTCTTCGAAACTGCACCTAACAGGAAAGCTGTGAAGGCAGATAGAACTACCGGGGACGAACCATGGTCTTCTTCCTTCAATTTTTGCTGAAGTAGTCTTTGTTTCAGCTGATCAAAAACTGTAAACTGCAGTTTACCATAATTCTAGCTTTAGTTACGAGGGCAGGAACTTAACAATCAATATTCAAGAGTAAGAATCGAGAATAACGGTATATGCAAGCACCTGAATTGAAGGGTTGGAGGTAAGCAAAAGAGATATGCCAAGGCCATCGAATGCATCACTCAAGGTGCCCTCTGAGAGGGTCTTCCAGAGCCCTCTCGATTTTCCAAACGCACTGGTTTGCATCCTTGAGGAGGCTGTATCCAGGGGCTACAAAGTGATAAACTAGGTATTTAACATCAAACACCATAATCAAAACAGACATGTTCTTGGGATATGCAAAATTCTAGACAATAAAGAAAGTTACTCAAAAGTTGAATGGCAACAACATCAGTATCTTTTCCACTTCAGTTCGTAAATATAAATAGTAATCTAAAGTTTCTTATTACCAGTTACCTATTTCGGAACTTTAAACAAAGGAGTAATCATTCGAAAGGTCACTTATAATCGAAGTACTAGATGGAACTGTCTCGTAATCATAGATAGGAATTAACCTTTTATTGCCCAAAACACCCACAATCCAGAATACAAGCACCAAAGACTTTGCATTCAAATTTCAGATGGCATAAAATTATCACTTTCTGTCCTCAACATTTTTACAGAAATTTCAGTATAGCACATTTTAATCTTGTTTAATTCGTATTCGCTGCTAACATCAAACACCGCCAAGAAAGTGTAAATCATAGATGATGGTAATTTCTAACTGACCATGGGCGGTTGAGTATACCATATTGTTCCAAAGCATCCTACAGCTCATTCTCTATACACAATCCGGTAAGGGATTCAAAGTAGAACTGCAGCTTTTTGCTTGGAAAGATAAAATCATTTAATATATTCAAAACAAAAATATAAGTGACTCGCCAAACGATGTCTCACCTGAGTGACAATAGCAGTACAAGCCCCTGCCGCTGCAGCAAGAATCAAGTTTGCTTTCGTTCCAATCGACTTGGAACTGCTCTTTTGTAGATACAGTCTTTTGAAGTAGCTATATCCATAGAAATAGATAAATTGTGCAATGAATGACTGTAGGTTTTTTGTGCCTAAACCTTGGTATAAAGAAAGAATTCGGCCGGTCGATACCGCTTCCCAAAGTACATCTGAAAGGTTCCTGTATAAGATAAGAAAATGAGATCAAAAACAGAGAAGCTCAATCCATGAACTTACTGCCTTGGCAACAGGGGTTGCACAACATCGATCAAAAAAAGGAACAAGTACCTACATTTTCCGAACATATGGTCTAAAAGGAAAACATGTTACATGAATGGGAAAGGGAAGTGAAGAAAATCTAACATATGCACAAGCTCAAACTAGAAAAATCTAAATCTACAAGGAAAAAATGCTGTTGAGAATTCATGGTAACTATTGCTCAAAAGATCTCAGATGAATTTGTATAGATTATTATACTAAAAGGTACTATCGTAATGTAATCACATATGTTACGATTACGGTAAAATCTACTATAGTTATGTAATCATGTACGATATGAATACCGAAAGTTTATTCCTCTACGACCATCCTAACTCTCTCCTTTCTCACTCATCACTGACTAGCTCCGGAGAGTTCGGTCAGAATCGAACTCCAACCTTATACTATCAAGCTGCAGGCACTAATTTTCCACATCAATGACCCGGAAAAACGTAAAACAGGCATAACAAAACCCAAAAAACAAAATTAACATTATAATTCATATGATCCAATTCAATTAACATAACCGTTATTCTAGGATTACATTCACTTCAACAAGTAAGCAAATCACAAATCTATATCATCAATGGATAGTAAATTACTCTTTTACTCTAAGCTTGTTCTCTTTCACATCAGACTCGTTTCAATCACCATAACCAATAAAAAAATGAAGTCGTATTGACAAAGAGAGTCAATTCATCACAAATTCACACATAAAGAAAAAGAAAATCAAATTTCAGAATTACCCGGATCATGATCACAACAAAGCAAAACAAACCCAGAATTTAGAATCAATAAAAAGAGTAAAACTTGAAACAAAGAATTGGGTTTACCTGTATTTTCGTTGACCATGGGATTGAACCTCGGCTTGGTACTTGGTTTTACAAGTATCAAGAGGGTACAAGATCGTGGTGCTTAACAATGACCCTAAAGCACCCGAAGTAGCCTCCGATAAAGACTCTAAATCAACAGCCATCTGAAAGAATAAAAAAATATTCTTTATTTAAATTTTTTCCTGTAAATTGGAAAATCAAACTATGGAATCATTTGATCTGGTTTTTGAGATTTATAGGAAGAGGACGAAGAGGGTAGCTGGACAAAGGAAAAACACGCGAGCAATATGGCGATGCGTCGTCGTTTCTTATTGGGATTTGAAAAAACGTGGGATTTCTCCGTCCATATTAACGGCAACGCTTACGTCATTTGTCTGGTTTCTAACGGATTAGATGAGTTGGTACGGTGTTAGTGTTTTACCCTTCTCAGAAGCCGTCAAGTCGGCTGTTACCATGCAAATTTATTTTAATTTAAATTCTATTTTATACTATAAGTTTTTAGAACATATATATATTATTTAAAATTATTTTAATCTAAATTATATATGATTTATATTTTATAATAATTAATTTTAACTGTAATGATCTAGATATATTGTTATTGTAATTTGTCAATCAATATAATATTAATTTTTTAAGAAAAATAGAAGTTAATTTAACTTCAAGTTTAATTATTACTATATCAAAATTTGAGATTTAATTTTAATATAATTATTAATATATGACCTATTAGTTAATTAATCTAGATTAAGTACAGTAAAAATTTATAACAGGATGATTCTCCTAATATAATTTATATCATTAAAAATAACATAGATTACGATTGTTTTCTCCTTTTGTAAAAAATAATAATAATAACATCATATAAATCTCGAATGTTATTTAAAGGATCTAACCTCTCATTCCTCATAATTTTACCAGTTATTTGTCATTAAAATATTGAAATTAATATTCTTATACTTTTCATCAAATAAATAAGATTACGTAAGATATTGATTAATAATAAATTTATATGTAATAAATGGAAAAATCACGGAGATAATGAGATGAGAAAAAATTATCATCTCTTGCATCCCCAAAATTATTCTCTTAAGTAGAGTGTCTTGGACAATAATAAGGGGAAGACGTATGTAACAGTAGACGTCTTCATAAAAACGTATGGACTACGAAGACGTCTTCTTCATAGTTCGAGCGACGTAGAGGAAGATGATCATGTATGGAGTATAGGAAAGACGCCAAATCTTTTATATATCTTTATGAAGATGTCAGGTAATTCGTACGACTCTTTTAATTCATTAAACAAATTATTCTATTAGAGAAAATAAATATTGATGATCATGAGGATTTTTTTTCAAATCATTATTTGAGTAATTTTGTCTGTGGTAACTTATAAGTTAATAAAATGTTGAACTTTCAAGGAACCAAATTTGACCCAAATCTTGAGCCATTAACGAGAGAGAAAGTGATTGATTGTGAAATTTTCCGAGGAAACAAACAACCATGAAGTTTCCTTCCAAAACAACATTGTTTACATCTAAAAATTATTAAAAACGTTTTCTGATTGGTAAACGTGGCGTTAAAAGTATCACAAAAGTCCTTGTACTAAGTGACAGATTGCGTTTTGATCTCTTTACTAAAAAAATGAGTAAAATAGTTCCTATACAATTCGTATCAAGCAAATTGGTCCATCCAGTTAAATTTATGTTATTCCCACCATTAAAAGTTGATTTGGCAAGAAAAGAAAAGGTTCAATCATTAAATTGGTCCTTATATTTAATACTTTCTCCCGAACTAACACTTTTACTTTTTCTTAAATTGGGACCAAATTTTAATTTTATTAATTATTATGATTACATTTTTGTAACATTGTTAAAAAAGAAAGACACGATAAAGTCATATCTTTTAAACGTGATGAGGCAATACGAGTCAAAATAGTTTGTTCTGGGCATATAGGTATGACACAAAATTAAAAGATTAATTATGTTATATGTTTCACATGTGTTAACGTGTCATAGAATTAAAGTGTAAATATCATAAGTTGTATTTATAATTTGATGAGAGGCGAAATTATAAATACTTAAAAGACTGACATAATATTCGGTTTATATAAAGAAATAGTGGTCCCCAAGAAATATGTTAGCTTGTATTACTCTTATCTCGTTAGTGAGATTTTACGATAAGAGAAGGTCTATCTTCTTGGAAGATTACAACTAAAGAAAGACTCAAAGATTTTAACCTGTCAATTAATTCGGGTAATCTTCCGCATTCAATTTATTATTCTGGATGATTCAACATGATAGATATTGAGTTCTTGATTATCAATTAGTTTTTTATTCTAAAATAGTTTACTTATCAAGGGGACAACTACAATATTAAATTATAATAAAGTATAGAATTTGAGGGTTAAATTTATTATTATGTCAATTTTATCAACTACCATGTCATTTTTCGTAAAATTTTTAATAGAGACGAATTAATTTCTTAAGTTTTTAAAATCAAATGACCAAATTATAACTTTTCTAATAGAAAGATTTAACAAAAATACCTTATTATAGGGGGTTATTTATTATTTATCCTTTAAAATATTAATAAATAGATATGACATAAAATTAATTAAATTATAATAGGATAATTACCATAAATATAAGATTATATCAAAATTTGCACACTCGTAATATTAACTTTGTGTTTCTATCAATAATACTAATAATAATAATAATAATAATAATAATAATAATAATAATAATAATAATAATAATAATAATAATTTTATAATTAAAATAGAAAAGAAGTAATAAATTGGTGACTATGGATGTAGTTATCCATTTAATTAAATATAATATTATAAATACGATTATCATACATCAATTTTTTAAATAGTCTTAGATAATTATAAAATTGTATCGATTCAAAAATTATAGATCCGAATTTTAACATGATATTAGTACTCGAAAGTTAACAACTTACCAACCATGCACCCATGCACATCCATATAAATGCCTAATTCCTAAACACTACCAACCCTTTAAATATTTATTTACCTTATATAATCGAGCGTGAAGAGCTTGCCCCAAGTACTAAAAATGGCTGCCAAAGCACTCCATTCTAACCAAAAACTCTTCACTCTCTCCCTCATACTTCTCTCTTTATCACTTCTATTTCTGATTTCATTTTTCGGATCGAAATCTAATATCATCTATTCGTTTAGACTCGAGACGGATCAAACAAATCAGGTGTTCGAGAATCCGAGGTGGTTTGATCTTATTCAAGAAGAGCTTAATGGTGATAAGAAGATTAAGGTTGGTTTAGTTAATTTCAATGAGGAAGAAGAGAGTCAACTTAAAGTTCATGGACATGGTTTGATAGTTAGTACCGTTCACGTACATTTTGATCGTGTGTCCAAGGTAAGGAAATGGGAGGATTTTTTCCCTGTTTGGATTGATGAAGACCCGGACTCTTCCCCACCGACGTGTCCGGAGATCCCCATGCCACGGCCGATGGAGGAGTATCGGGACCTCAACGTCATGGTGGCTAGGGTACCGTGTGAAGGGTGGACGGTTGAGGCAGGGATGAGGGATGTGTTTAGGTTACAAGTGAACCTGGTGGTGGCCAATCTTTTGGTGAGGAGTGGTAGGGCCACGAGATACGTGGTGTTCGTCGGCGATTGTGGACCGATGCCGGAGATATTCAGATGCGATGACCTGTTGAGGAAAGAAGGGGATCATTGGGTGTACAAGCCTGAGTTGAGGAGGCTGAAACAGAAGGTGCACATGCCTTTTGGGACATGCCAGATTGCTTATCCATTTGGAAAAACAGGTTTGTTTTAGTTTCCAAACATTTTTGTGCGTGCTTTGTGTTGCTTTCATGATTTACCAACCATACATATTCTAAAATATTTTAAAAGTTCGGAATTCGAATCTAAATATTATTTAATTTATAAAATTATTTTTATTCGCTTTTAATATAAAAATTATATATTTTTATTAAAAATCATCGATCAAACTTTAGATAAAAAATTAAAAATAATTTCGATTCGATCTATTAACACCTCTAATTATGACTTAATTACCTTACCAAAAACGAAGAATTCATATAAATTAATACATCTTTTGGTAAGCTGGCATAAGATAGGTTATGGATGTGGTAATTTTCCCTATAATAGTCCTTTTTAAATTTTTGATCCATATTAGTCCCTAAATTTGGATTTTTATTCATTTTGATGTCTTGATACTTTAACATTATGTCATGTGGTACAATCTCATTGTGCTACATCGACGGAATCATGTAATGCTTGAGAGGGCTCTTGTACCCTTCATAATTTTTTGTCAAATGATACTTTAGGCCCCTATTACTTTAAATATTGATCAAACTAAGTCTTATCTACTTCGATTTTTAGGTTTAAACAAATTAACCCCTCCTGATGTTTAATCCTAGTTTTGTCCCTGGCTACATCACTAAAGAGGAAATAGATATCAAATTCAGTGATGAATATGGATCAGGAAAAATAGGGATCAAAGTGGAATGATTAATAGATCAAATACGAGTGATTATATATTTTTAAAAAAATTGCACCAACTAAACAATTTTGTTTATATTCCGTAGATGAAGCAAATCAAAATAAGCTGAAAAGCCGCCATTTCAACCACAAGGAAGCCTATGTAACAGTTCTTCACTCCTCGGAAGCTTATGTTTGCGGCGCAATAGCTTTGGCACAAAGCATTATCCGAACCAATTCAACGAGAGATTTACTTCTGCTTCACGATGAACACATCTCCCCAAAATCCTTAACAGGTCTAAGAGCCGCCGGGTGGAAAACCAGGCAAATCGAACGAATTCGAAGCCCCTTTGCCGAGAAAGGTTCATACAACGAATGGAATTACAGCAAGCTTCGGATTTGGTTGCTCACATGGTACCACAAGGTTGTTTTCATCGATTCAGATTTCCTGGTTTTCAAAAACATGGATAGCCTCTTCCTTTACCCTCAGCTCTCGGCTGCCGCCAACGATAAAACGCGGTTCAATTCCGGGATCATGGTGATCGAGCCTTCACTGTGTACGTTTGAAGATTTGATGGTGAAAAGCTTCAAATTGGGTTCGTACAATGGAGGGGACCAAGGGTTTCTCAATGAAGCGTTCACTTGGTGGCACAGGGTGCCTTCACGGATGAATTTCCTCAAATACTTTGAAGGCAACCAAAGTTCCGATCGTAATAAGGTACCCGATGATGTTTCTGCGATTCATTATCTGGGTTTGAAGCCATGGATGTGTTACAGAGACTATGATTGTAATTGGGATCGAAAGGGAAGACAAGTGTTTGCGAGTGATAAAGCTCACGAGAAATGGTGGCAACTGTATGATGAAATGCCCGAGAGACTCCAACAATACTGTGGGTTGACCGAAGACATGATTTGGAGGATCAAGACATGGAGAAAGGTTGCTAAGAATCTAAGGCTGCCTGATGAACATTGGAATATCAGTGTAACTGATCCTAGACAGTACAATCTTGTTCAACAAAGAAAAGGGTGTGAAATTCTTGAAAAAAAATCATAATTTTTTGTCATTTTGTAATCTGAATTTAACATTCAAGGATTGATGCATGGGTTCAATAATACATTCTTGTTCAATAAAGAAAAGGGTGTCAACTTTTTGAGATCGATTTTATTCTTTGGTTGGATAAATCATTATACTTCTATTACATTTAAATAATCCTTAATATGTATCTAGAACTTAGTTCAGTGGTGAAAGAGACGTTGATCTTTTTGGAAATCATGAATTTAATCAGCATGGTATATAAAATATGTATACATTATCGATAAGTTAAGAAAATTCTGAACAAATATTATCTTATTATCATCCTAAATTATTAAAAAAAAAACAACTATTAGGCTTCAATTTATGTATACGTAAATTTTAAAAATAAAATATATATTTTATTTTGTCTATCGAGTGACCTCAATAGTTAAAGAGAATGATGTTCGCCAACGAGTATTGATACAATTGGTTGGAATTCATGAATTTGAACTTGTAAAGTTAAGTTTGAATCCTACCACCGTTACTCTTGATAAACAATCTGTAAATTTTTATGTAAATTCTAATTGAGTTTTAGGAATACATTGACCCTGAATTGAAAAAGCGATCCCTAAACTAAACTTTTATTTTTTGTACCAAACAAAAAATAAAGAGAGAGAGGAAGAATGTTGTTCTCACTAAGTTTATGGGTTTTATTGCGTTTCTAGAAGGTGTATACTTGATTATTTTTAAAAAATAATAAAATTTCAATTTACGTATGAATTTTGATCAAATATATATTATGATTCATATATTTCGATATAATATTTATATACATGAAATTTTGATATTATTTTGTACATGGAACTTTATTTTTTATTTAATTGTACATATTTAAAATATAAATACATCAATTTATTTTTATATTGGATAAAAATAATTATTTATATATGAATTATGCAAACGTAAATGGATACTTTTAATTTTAAAAAATGTAAGATAATGTTACATCAATAATAATTTTAATAATTCATAATTTTTATAGAATCCTTAATTTTATTAAAAGAAAAATAGAATTGCAATAAAAGTTTACAATCATAAGTAAACTAATATAGTGGTCAATGGTTCGAGTTCTAACATTTGTGAATAGAGTAAACTAAGTTTGAGAAATCACTCTCATATTAGGCCTATGTAATACTCGATCATGATTAGATGATTAATAGATCAAATACGAGTGATTATATATATTTAAAAAAATTGCACCAACTAAACAATTTTGTTTATATTCCGTAGATGAAGCAAATCAAAATAAGCTGAAAAGCCGCCATTTCAACCACAAGGAAGCCTATGTAACAGTTCTTCACTCCTCGGAAGCTTATGTTTGCGGCGCAATAGCTTTGGCACAAAGCATTATCCGAACCAATTCAACGAGAGATTTACTTCTGCTTCACGATGAACACATCTCCCCAAAATCCTTAACAGGTCTAAGAGCTGCCGGGTGGAAAACCAGGCAAATCGAACGAATTCGAAGCCCCTTTGCCGAGAAAGGTTCATACAACGAATGGAATTACAGCAAGCTTCGGATTTGGTTGCTCACATGGTACCACAAGGTTGTTTTCATCGATTCAGATTTCCTGGTTTTCAAAAACATGGATAGCCTCTTCCTTTACCCTCAGCTCTCGGCTGCCGCCAACGATAAGACGCGGTTCAATTCCGGGATCATGGTGATCGAGCCTTCACTGTGTACGTTTGAAGATTTGATGGTGAAAAGCTTCAAATTGGGTTCGTACAATGGAGGGGACCAAGGGTTTCTCAATGAAGCGTTCACTTGGTGGCACAGGGTGCCTTCACAGATGAATTTCCTCAAATACTTTGAAGGCAACCAAAGTTCCGATCGTAATAAGGTACCCGATGATGTTTCTGCGATTCATTATCTGGGTTTGAAGCCATGGGTGTGGTTACAGAGACTATGATTGTAATTGGGATCGAAAGGGAAGACAAGTTTTTGCGAGTGATAAAGCTCACGAGAAATGGTGGCAACTGTATGATGAAATGCCTGAGAGATTCCAACAATACTGTGGGTTGACCGAAGACATGATTTGGAGGATCAAGACATGGAGAAAGGTTGCTAAGAATCTAAGGCTGCCTGATGAACATTGGAATATCAGTGTAACTGATCCTAGACAGTACAATCTTGTTCAATAAAGAAAAGGGTGTGAAATTCTTGAAAAAAATCATAATTTTTTTTCATTTTGTAATCTGAATTTAATATTCAAGGATTGATGCATGGGTTCAATAATATATTCTTGTTCAATAAAGAAAAGGGTGTCAAATTTTTGAGTTCAATTTTATTATTTTGTTAGATAAATCATTATACTTATATTACATGAGATTGATATTATTTGAAATTATGAATTTAAGTAGCGGCGTCGGTAGAATATGTATATATTTTCAATAAGTTAAGAAAATTCTGAACAAATACTATCTTATTATCATCCTAAATTATTTTTAAAAAAATAACTATTAGCCTTCAATTTATGTATAAGTAAATTTTAAAATTAAAATATATATATTTTTGCCTATCGAGTGACTTGTAAAGCCAAATTTGAATCCTATCACCGGATTACATGTGTCCCTGGATTGGGATTGCCCCGGATTGGGAGCCACCCCTGCCTAAACTTTTTATCTTTTGTACCAAAAAATAAAAAGAGAGAAAAAGTGTTATTCTCCCTAAGGTTATGGTTTTAACACATCTCTAGAAGGTGTATACATGGTTATTTTTTAAAAAATAATAAAATTTCAATTTACGTATAAATTTTGATCAAATATATATTATGATTCATATATTTCGATATAATATTTATATGCAAGAAATTTTGATATTTTGTACTGGAACTTATTTTTTATTTAATTGTACATATTTAAAATATAAATACATCAATTTATTTTTATATTATATAAAGATGATTATTTATATATGAATTATGCAAACGTAAATTAATGCTTTTAATTTTAAAAAATGTAAGATAATGTTATATCAATAATAATTTTAATAATTCATAATTTTTTATAGAATCCATTAATTTTATTAAAAGAAAAATAGAATTGCAATAAAAGTTTACAATCATAACTAAACCTATAATTAAGATATTTTCCTATAATTATACCCAAAATAATCATTTAAGATCACATAAGGACCATGCAAAGAAAAGATCAAAAACCTAATCAAAAACTCGAACAAATAGATACAAACATATCTAACTACATCGGTAAACGAATCAAAAAAGGATGAAGTTATAAAAAGACCATTGACAAACTGCGAATCAGAGTTGAACAACGTGAAAAAACAATCTACCAACACAAATCACACATCTAAATTCAATATGAATTTGAAGGTCCTAAGTAGAGAAGATCAACATGATAACCTATAAACGTCATCTTAATCAATTGTGATAAATGTCAAATCTAACCCTAAAAAAAATAAACCAAAACAATAATCAAACAAAAAATATATATTAATAGATAAAAAAAATATGACATAAAGACATAAGAAAACGTGTCCAACCTATCTATAAAAAAGCGAAAGGAGAAACCAACAACATATAAGGTAAAAGAGAGAAAATCCTAATCTAACAATTCATAAAAGTTAAGTTAAATTGAATATATATAATTTTAGTATTTGAATCTTAATTAAAGGGGATTGTCTCAGGAAAGGCGGGTTAATATACGGTTAATATACGGCATTACCGGATACATTAAAATGTATTTAATAAATTCGGTTTAGCGGTACCTATTATGTTGACAACTAATAATGTTTTAGGTAGAAAATATGAAAAACTATTAAAAAATTTGGTAGCCGGTAAACTTTGGTTATCGGTAAGTATCTATCCTTTTTATAAAAGTGTCCATACTTTTAACATATCAAGTAAATTTTACCGGTTTTGTCATAATGAATCTGGTTTTGTCATATTTTTACATGTTATATTGTAAAGTATCTATCCTTTTTATAAAAGTGTCCATACTTATTTCACTGTGAAAATATTTATTATTATCTTTGGTTAATATTGTTAAATTTAAATTCTAAATAATATTTTATAAAATATCAAAACAATCAAATAATTTTTTGTGTAAATGAAATTATTAAATTAATATTGTAGGTGGAAAACATGAAACACTATTAAAAAAAATTGAAACATAAATTACATAACTTTAAAAAAAGTATATACCATTTTTATAAAAGTGTCCATACTTATTTCACTGTTGAAAACATATTTATTATTATATTTGGTTAATATTGTTAAATTTAAATTCTAAATATATTTATAAAATATCAAAACAATCAAATAATTTTTTGTGTAAATGAAATTATTAAATTAATATTGTAGGTGGAAAACATGAAACACTATTAAAAATATTGAAAAATAAATTACATAACTTTAAAAAAAGTATATATCATTTTTATAAAAGTGTTCGTACTTATAAAAGTAGGTCTAAGTCATTAAGAAATATTAAAAAATTGTGCTACCGGTTCGTGTCGATCCAAATTAAAAACGTGTCGATCCAAATTAAAATGTGTCGATCCAAAATGATATAACAGGTAAAAATATGACAAAACCGGTATAGAAATGATAAAACCGGTAAAGCGCTACCGGATACATTTAAAGTGTCGGTACTTTAATATAAGGATCGACACTTCGTGAATTTAAAGAGAAGCAGTTTAAATCCTAAAAGTGTCGATACTTTTAAAAATGTATCGATCCAAAACGATATATCAGGTAAAAATATGATAAAACCGGTAACAAAATGATAAAACCGGTAAAACGTTACCGGATATATTGAAAGTGTCGATACTTTATATAAGGATCGACACTTTGTGAATTTAAAAGAGAAGCAGTTTTAGCGCCTATAATGTGTCGATACTTTAAAAAAATATATCGATCCACAACGATATAACAGGTAAAAATATGATAAAACTGGTATCAAAATGATAAAACCGGTAAAATGATACCGGATATATTGAAAGTGTCGATACTTTCGTAAGTACGTGTAATAAATTATCGACACTTTCAAAGAAATAGGTAATTATCCTTTCGAAAGTATCGACACCTGACATAAAAGTATCGACACTTTTGTATTTGTATCGATTAAATATAAATAACATATCCGATGAAAATATAAGCTAAATATCCTCTGAAAATAGATAGAACGGACGAGTTTTTGAAATCAAAGCGTAATTGTTGCTGCATTTCAGAAGGTGTTTCTAAAGCGAAGTTTGTTTGTTTGTTGCTGCAGTCGAATCGAAAAGTATGTTGTCGAAACCCTAATTTTTTATTATTACAGTAATCGCGATATGGTTTTATGTGTTGTTTGGGGTTTTGGAGTAAAGAAGCATTTGGGACCGATTGCAGGTAGAAAGTGATATTCAAGGAAAAATATAAATGTCGATACTTTTATTAAATATTATAGGTAGAAAATGATATTATAGGTTGTATAAATATGCCGACATATTTTGGTGTGGCCATTCAAATTCTTTGAAGAAAACCGTTTTACCACAATAGTAGTTATCTATTTGTATATTGAATAAGTGTATGTAACAAAATAATTTGATTTGCGTAAACTGATATATGAAGGAAAAATGGAGTCAATGGGTTGAAAAATTGTTGGTGGAGCAGATGACTTTGAAATTGAGGCCGAGACTCGAAAGCAACCAAAGGGTGGATATATGTACTTCTAGTAAGTATCAATGTCTTTTTGTTATTATTGTTGAAATGGTAATTGGATTAAAGTATCGATAAACTTTAAATTGATTACAAATTTTAAATGTTGACAGTATGGCCGGATGCAAAAGGATGAAGGAAGATGGCACACAGAGCGGTTCGGTATGTAAAATGAAATTGACATTGATTAGTATTTAGTGTTAATGTATTGATTAAGAAACGTTTATGTTTTATATTAGGTGACAAAAGATGTGAGGTCCAAATGGAATTCAATGAGTGATGCTGAAAAGGAACCTTACATCACACAGTCAAGGAATGATAGTAAGAATACAAAGAACGGAGGAAAGCACATGAAAATAAGGTATTCATTAAACTTGTAAATACGTTGATACAAAATATATAAGAACTATAACATTATATATTGTTAAAAAATATAGGAAGTGTCGACAAGATGCAGCATTAAAAGGGTGAATTTATTAATTAAACACCTTAAGGAGAAGGGTCAGTTGAATGTGCTGGGAGAAATAGGTTTTGGATTGTTGGTAGGAGTAAGGGATCGACCTATTCGGAGGGAATTGTGTCGATCCTTGATGGCGAAATTTGATGTCAGACAATGTATTGCTAAATATGGTGATTTTTCATTTCCTCTCGGGATCCCATGTGCTGCAGCCGTATTGGAGGTAGAAAATGAAGGCAAAAGTGTCGTAGAAGTATGTAAGAGTAAGGACTGGAAAGCACTTGCCTCCAAATATGGTTTGAAGCATAAGGTGACATATGCTGAAATTGAAGAGGAAATAAAAAGTGGATCTTACGTTGGGGATGAGCTGAAGGCCAGAGTTCTATTATACCTTGTCGGTATCTTTCTTTGTCCAACGGGTAATACGTCAACGAACAAAGAACATATGAAGCTCATTTGTGATGAAGGCTTGAAGGGTGAATTTAATTGGGCTGAATATATCCATTCGAGATTGATTGAATCAATAATCACCTTTAAAAAGGGCAGCCAAAGATACCTCAAAGGGTGCATAGCAATCTTAGAGGTAAATGAGTTGAAGAACTTTTTTGTATTTTTATATAAAAATATAAATTTTATTATAAATGCAGGTTGCACTGTTCGATTTTTGGTCGGGCTGTGAGGTAGTGTCGGCTTATGTAAGAACCGGAGTGGCACGCATCCGTGCATGGGGGAAGGAAGATGTGGTTAGAGTGATGGTGAAGTTGAAGTTGGATAGAGCGAAGAAGCAAGAAAGGGTAATAAATGTAATTAAATAATATTAAGAATATAATCAATGTCTTAATATTATAATTTAATTTTGAAGGTTATTGGCAAGGATGTAGAGGAGGCAGTGGAGGTAGAGGAGAAGAAAGGAGGGATGGTTGTATTGGGGGATGACGGTGAGTGGGACGACAGTGAGGGAAAACATAATAACTTCGACATTTTGATGTCTGAATTGGCTGATATCAAAAAAATCCAATTTGAAATCATGCAAAGACAATCAAGAGTCG